TACAAAAAGGATGACCGCAATTGAAGAAATGGCAGGAATGGATGTCCTCTGCAGTGACAAAACTGGAACGCTGACCTTGAATCGCCTCACTGTTGATCGAAACCTTATTGAGGTACAAAACCTGACTTCATATCCGTGGATTATAGCTATCCTCACATACTGGAGGAAATAATAAATGATTTGAGTGTATCCAAAGAACATCTTTGACCATAGCTTTTGGAAACCAGATGACACTTAGACATGATATGTTGTTTTTGATTTCCTCTAAAGTCTAAAAGCAGAACTTCTTCTTGCAATGTCTAGATTTTCAGATAAAGGGTAATAGCCAAGCTCACGTTTTGTGCAGGTTTTTAACAAAGATATGGACAAAGACATGATTATTCTGCTTGCAGCAAGAGCCTCAAGACTGGAAAATCAGGATGCTATTGATGCAGCCATCATTAACATGCTTGCCGACCCAAAGGAGGTAGATATAGAAAATAACTTCAATTTCAAGGTTCTGTTTTTTCTCTTAGATGTTTATGTTCTGAGAATGAAAGAAACCTTGTCTATTCAGGCTCGTGCAAACATCAAAGAAGTTCACTTTCTTCCATTTAATCCAGTTGACAAACGTACTGCAATTACATATATTGACTCTGACGGTAACTGGTACCGTGCCAGCAAAGGAGCTCCTGAACAGGTACCCATCTTCTTGATGCAATTGACTCACATTTCCATGATGACTTGAGTTTTGATCAGACCCAGGTTAAAGTTTTTCTATAAAAAAGCAGCATCAAATAAGCCAAAATTCAACCATAAATTTGTGATGGCTCATTTCTGTTGCATAATCACCTTTTAATACCCTGCAATAAAACTATCCTTGTTTCTCATTTATATTAATGCTGATCAATTTTGTAAAGGCTTGGCCCTTACATTTGGTGTCTGTTTTGAGCTACCTTATATCTGTTTTATTTTGCTAAATAAAGTTGCAGCAGAGCAGGAGATTTACTTCTCTTGTTTTTTTTGTTCTTCTCAAAATCAGATACTAAATCTTTGCCCAGAGAAACATGAGATTGCTGGAAAAGTGCATGCTATCATTGATAAATTTGCTGAAAGGGGCTTGCGGTCTCTTGGAGTTTCTTTTCAGGTATAATATCTTTTTGGATGTAAGTTGTGGTTAAGCCAATAAGTTCAGTTCAGAAACTACTGGTCATCAATGATATCAGTACTTAAATGGAATGTATGACAGTGATTTGAGTTTCCACTTAACATTCAAATTCTTTTCTAACATGTTCATTAACCTGCATAATCATCTTCTCAGGAAGTTCCAGAAAGAACAAAGGAGAGCCCAGGAGGTCCCTGGACATTTTGTGGTTTGCTGCCTTTATTTGATCCTCCAAGACATGATAGCGCTGAGACCATTCGAAGGGCCTTAAACCTTGGAGTTTGTGTAAAGATGATTACAGGTACATATGAATTACTTGCTTGGTTGAAATAATCAATTTCTAGCATAACTAGACTAGCCACATGTTATGTCTTTCTAGCTTTAGTTACTCCATTAGTTTTTAGTTGTACCTTTTCGTAACTTCCATTGATAAGCTACCCTATGCTGGTTGACTTCATTTTTATTTTGGCATTAAAATTTATTGTCCCCATTTTCCATAAGCAAGACATACATTATTCATGGTAGAATATTTTGGGTATTGAAAAGAAAGAAGTCCTGTGAATGTTATCGTCTAATGGAATCCTTAAGTGCAGTTCTAGCATGCTACACTTACATTAAGTCACTCACAATCAGGCCAAGGCTGAACTCATATACTAACTCAAGATGCTTTTGACCCCAAAAAGCAGCATTTTTGCAGAAAAATACCAATATGTCCTGTTCATACTTATATAGGTGATCAGTTGGCAATTGCAAAGGAGACAGGCAGAAGACTTGGCATGGGGACCAACATGTATCCTTCTTCATCATTGTTGGGTCGTGATAAAGATGAGAATGAAGCTCTTCCAGTGGATGAACTCATTGAGAAGGCTGACGGCTTTGCTGGAGTATTCCCCGGTATTTATCAAGAAAACTATGAATCTTTATTTGATCACAATTAGCACACCACTTTTAGAGAAATAAATTCAAAGGATTTAGCGAATTTTTTAAGAAAATAATCATACCAGTCACTTCTCTCCTGCACTTGTTGATGAAGTTTTGACTGGACCAGTGGCTTAAAAATGGATGAGATACACTTTTATTTCTATGTTTACTGTCATCCCCTGACTGGTCCAGTATCTTCAACCCCTGATTTGGCCTACATTGCTATTTAAATTTCAGAACATAAGTACGAAATTGTAAAGATTTTACAAGAAAAGAAGCATGTGGTGGGAATGACTGGAGACGGTGTGAATGATGCACCTGCTTTGAAGAAAGCAGACATTGGAATAGCAGTGGCAGATTCTACAGATGCTGCAAGGAGTGCCGCAGATATAGTCTTGACTGAGCCAGGCTTAAGTGTGATAGTCAGTGCTGTTTTGACTAGCAGAGCTATATTCCAAAGGATGAAAAACTATACGGTAGAGCATCAGTCTTCTGTTCTATATTATCTTTAGCAATGGAAAATAGTCCTCGGAAATGTACTCACCTAGATCACAAGTAATATTCATTAATCAAGCTTAACTTCATGTTGACACTGAGATTTTCAAGTTGATGACTAGCCTGCTTGAATGTGCAGATATATGCCGTCTCCATAACCATTCGTATTGTGGTAGGTTAAATTTCTTCCGTACTTCAACTGATCTATTCAGTTTCATGGACTAACAACTTAAGCTTTTAAATAGTGATCTGTTTTTCATAAATAACTATATCATTGCAGCTTGGTTTTGTGCTTCTAGCTCTGATATGGGAATATGACTTCCCACCTTTCATGGTTTTGATCATTGCAATCCTTAACGATGGTAGTTTTTCAATCAATGACAACCTTTCCTTTGGATTTTTAATCAGGAACATCATGGCTTCATAAATATTTACACTGAAAAGTTTACCTTGTATTTTTAATCAGGAACTATAATGACAATTTCCAAAGATCGAGTAAAGCCATCCCCAAGGCCTGACAGTTGGAAGCTTAATGAGATATTTGCAACTGGCATTGTCATTGGAACCTATCTTGCTTTGGTCACTGTCCTGTTTTACTGGATTGTAGTTGACACTGAGTTCTTTGAGGTATTGAAACTCATAATCTTGTTTCCTACTTCTCTCCCTACAGTTACTTTGGGAAGAGAATTATGATTCCTACGATTTTTTTCTGCAGACTCACTTCAATGTAAAGTCTATATCCGACGATACCGAGCAAATTTCCTCTGCAGTATATTTGCAAGTTAGCATCATCAGCCAGGCTCTAATCTTTGTTACTCGTAGTCAAAGTTGGTCATTCCTTGAAAGGCCTGGTGTTCTCTTGATGTGCGCATTTGTGGTGGCTCAACTGGTAAGATTCTACGGAAAATGTCCGTTAAGAAACGAAGGGAAATCACGAAAAGTTTTTGAACCATTAATTTTGTATCCTTTCTCATTGTTCAGGTGGCTACCTTAATTGCTGTGTATGCACAAATTAGTTTTGCTTATATTAGCGGCATTGGATGGGGATGGGCTGGTGTTATATGGTTGTACAGTTTAATTTTCTACATACCCCTGGATATCATAAAGTTCACAGTTCGCTATGGCTTGAGTGGAGAGGCCTGGAACCTCCTGTTTGATCGAAAGGTCAGTGCATTGTTCCTCGTTTCATACTTATTAGGGTATAAATCTTTCCTTGAAGAGACTTTTCATGCTCTCCATGTGCAACAGACTGCATTTACTTCCAAGAAAGACTACGGAAAAGAGGACCGGGCAGCCAAGTGGGTTCTTTCTCAGAGGAGTCTACAGGGCTTGATGGCTGCAGACTTGGATTTCAATGGTAGAAAATCAAGATCTTCATTGATAGCTGAGCAGGCCAGGCGACGTGCTGAAATAGCCAGGTGCCTTCGACTTTCACTTTGATGAATTGACTTATATTCATATATGAATATCTTCTGTAGTAGCTGAAAAACTGAGTAATGAACATCTTTTGAAATGAGCTTGCTGAAATGATCCTTCAACTTTTGCAGACTCGGGGAGCTACACACTTTAAGAGGTCATGTAGAATCAGTTGTGAGGCTTAAGAATTTGGATTTACATGCGATCAAAGGAGTTCATACGGTCTAAACAACAAACGGGGATACTGTGTTTCTCAGTTTCCTCGTCAAGATAAATGTAGCAGCAGTTGCTCACATAAGTATTGTTGCGTATACTCCCAAACGAAACCAGCATTTGTTGTTCAAGAGTCACTAAAAATATAATCAGGGATCTTTGGAAAGACGATCACGTTCTTTTGGCTTCGAAGGTCAGTAATGCATATCAACAGGCTTCTTTAAGGGAACAACTCCTGCCATCTCTTAGCATCTATTGCAATTTTTTAATATAGAACAGAACTATTTGTCTTCAGATTTCAACATTCTTCTTTTCATTTGCAGAAATTTTTGTAATATTTAGTCAAATCCCAGAACAATAACTACTTGACACAGTGGCATTTTCTTGAATTCTTCATGGTCCAGAGCTGGAATAAAGCACAATAAATATGGCATTAAGTCATAACCCACAAGTGCTGCTCTTATACGGTTACTTATATAATTGACTCTGAGTCTCTGATATGATTTGGTTCTCATCTCACCTGTGTCAAATGCTTGAACTTTTCATCTCATCAGTGTCAAATGCACTAATTCTCCCATTATCACACATTTGAGTCGTTAAACCTTTTTATATCGACAAAGAATAAAAATTGAACATCAATATCTTTTCAGCAACAAATTCAATGTCGACAAGCACACTGATAGAAACTGGTACGTATAATGCTAGTAATGATACACGATAAAGGAAACTGCACACTGAAATAGTTGCAGGCAATTTACCCGCTGACCTCGTTACTTGATGATTGGAATAGTTGCAGGCATATCACTAAAATCATTGGCAATGGAAGATTTCTAGTAGGAGGACATCTGAATAACACGCAACTTTCCCAGTCTCACAGAGTTGACATAATCTGTTGGGCAATGTGCTGCTATTCCAGGCATTGCCAATCCTAGTACCCTGAGAAATATGGAGAAACATCCTTCCTTGTACTCAGGCCCATGGGTGTATCCCATTGTCAAACTTCTTATTAACTCCCAAACCGCATTGAGATGTTCCGGGATCAGGTGTGTTATCCCAAAGTAATTTTTATTTGGCTCCTCATCCATTCTCTTTAAACAATAACAAATAAAAGAAGAAATCAACTCATATGATGAAGAAAAGGTGAAACAGGTGGGGATAAGTGAATACCTGCTCAATATAACAGCTGTTGTAGTAAAGGCACACCCCAAAATGCCTATACAAGAAGGTTTTATCATCATAAGGCAGCCTGGGCACCAGGTCATTGCAGTAAACCACTCTGAAGTACTTGGGGACTGGCTGATCTAAATGAGCTTCCATGAACCTCCCAAGCTGGATGTTCCCAACCCTTGGCTGTCCAAATGTGTATACACCCAGCAACTTTTGAATCAGCTTCATATCCTCATGTAGCACGAGCACTATTGGAAACAAAATAGCAAGAGCCCCTCCTAAGCTATGACCAGTGACTATATATTTTGCATTCTTGTGCTCTTCAAGCAAGGTCTTGAGCTTTTTCCTCACCATATAGTATGCAGTCATCTCCACCATTTCTGAAGGGATGCCCTTGTTAACAATATCAGCAGTCGACTCTTCAGAGTGGGCATCCGCATTTGCGGCCTTTATTTCTGCAGCTTCTGAATAGGTATGCTTTGTGGTCTTCTTCTGAAGATGATAATGAAAGGTATTAGTATCCTCTCTGTTGCCCAACCCTAATGCCTCTAGAAATCCCATATGAAGCTTTCCTACTTCGGGAATTTCATACCAAGAGTAGTCAAAATCAGTACACCAATCGTCAGCATCAAAAGGTTCTGTGCCCCGAAAGCTGATCAATATTAGATTCGCATCCTTAGGCTTGTCGCATAACAGAAAAACTTGAGTGGATTTCTCCTTTTGGTAATCTATCAAATGATTGCCAATCACAGAGAGAATTAATAGACCATTAAATGAAAGGGGACCCTAAAAAAACAAATATTATTCTAGGGAGAAAAAAAATTTTTGCCAAAAGCAGTTTTGAACTGTTAGTTCCAGTGATCAGGATTCAAATCCTGGTAGCCTCAAGTATATAAAAAGAATCAAATGAAAACAGGAAATATCCATAGGTAGGTGAAGCAGGTAAGGCCGAGGTCCCAACAGATCCCAAGTAAAACAATTGCATTTAGAATGTGTCTCATACCATCCCAGCAGTTGTAGAAGTCCACGAAGTGCATCTGCATGTGTCAGGTGGGTGGACTGCAAAATCATTAGTTGCCACCAGAAGTTGGTAGAATTCATAACTGAATCAATGATTACCAGAACAATATAAATGACATTAAGTGACTTCAGAGAACAATAGACTAGCTTGCCTTCCAATGATGAACCACAACATTTCTAACAACTTCAGCATTTTCATAAGCTAGCTTGGATGCCATCATACATAGGTCCATTGTTGCCTGGTCATCCAATTCAACATTTCTGAACCCCTCCCCTGGAGCAGAATTATGCAACTCTTCAACTAACTTTTTGCCCTGGTAGAGGTCTATTCTCTCATCCAAGTGTCCAATAGTACTAATAAAAGTCTCGGTGCCTCTCTTTGGTATAACTACTTCTCCTGCATCACACAGCCATCTCAGTAGTCATGAATGCCATAAGGTCGACAGAATTTGCAGTTGTATAAAACCTTTGATCATCATGAAGACAAAGAGATCAAGCGATCTCAACTGTCTAGTGTAATTTTGGTATAGCAAAACAGTGACAAATTCAGAATTTGAATCATTGAAAATGCTGTGTTTTTTTATTCAATCAAATATGCAACAGTCCACCTTAGTTAAAAAACATGCGTCACTTTTTACATGCTTCAATCTGAATTACACGTGTATCATACTGAAAAAGAAAGGAACAAAGAGAGAGCAGAGAGGGAAATACCATGGAGAATGTTGTAGAATAAGCCAAAGAGAGAGCCATTCTGAGAAATAAGGTTGAGAAAGAAATCAACCACATAGCCAGTGAACTCCATGGGCTTGCTGAATAAGTGAATGATCTTGCGTGCTACGATAGATACCAAAATGACCCAACGGTGATCAGCCGCTTCTCCACCCACCACATCCTGGTCTGAGCTTTCCAGGAACCTTGCCCCACTCTCTATGTCACCCCACAATGAGTACCTAATCAGGTCCCAAATCCCACCCTTTTCTGGCCTCACAACCAGGTATCTGAAATCATCATCCAAACCATCCATGAATGTGTTTGTTTTGCTTCAGCTTTTGGGAAACTTCCTCTAGGACTAGAATGTTTTTTTCCCCTATAAGGCAGAACATTAATTAATGTAACATTAATGGATGTATTTATAACCTGTCAGGAGAATGGGCTAAGGTTTGGTTACATGTGCAAGTTCAACAGAAGTCGGAAAAAAGTTTCCAAAAGAGGATTTCAATTCTGAGTCTTATATTACAAGCCTTATACACGGGAGTTTGAAAAAAAAATACTGTAGGAATAGGAGTATAATCTATCAGTAAATGGTCTATAACTTTGAAACTGAATTCTTCTCTCCCACAGTCCATCAGAATAACATTTTGCGGTTCAAGTGCACCTAGAATCTGAAAATCGTCAGCATCAACAACATGCCTCCACTCCATCATGCCATGTCATGTGTGGACCTTAGGCCATAACACCCCATTGTGCATATTTCTTTCTGGACTGTATCATATAGGAGGAAGAGGAATTGGATTTCTGAATTCTGATAGAAGGAAAAAAAAACACGTGCACACACCACTAGCCATTTGCATAGAAAGTATTTGGGTTTCTGCTTTTTGCTTTTTCATTTTTATATATCTGTTAGTTTGGATGAGAGAAATTGAATTTACACCTTTTCTTGTAAAGAGAAGAAATGGGTAATTTAGTAATGAGGCTATCCTAGTAGCAACCTGACAATATTATTCATAGTATGGCATTTTGAGTTTTGAGGAGCAAACCATGTACACGTATCAACTTTAGGCAACTGTAATTTGGGGACTAGAATTTCTTTATTTTCTGTCAATGCAACATTTTTAATTTCTAAAACTAATTTAACAAAAAACAATGCCAACAGCCACATAATCTATTGATAAAGTGTTACCATTTGGTTTTAGTGAGAAAGTTGTATTTTTACAGTTTCGAGAATAAAAAATGAGATTAAGAGAAAAAAAAAAAAAAACTGTTTCATTTTATCTTTCTTACATCGAACACAATGACAAAAAAGATCAATCTAGAAATTGGCATCATTGCTTGAATGGTTGTCAAAGCTTGCACTATTAAAATGTTTGTGGATGTATTGAGATAAAAGGGTTTGATAGCTGGAGATGGTACGTGAACGCATTGAAAATCTTAAAAATAGTTAAAGTTGTTTGGGTTAGGAAAGTACAAATCAAGTTTGTTGAGATTATAATCTTTCCTTTTTTTGTTATGGATAGGATCTGCTAATTCAATTTTTGACGAAGAAACATGTGCAAAATTGGTCCACAAATAAAGCCCTATAATTTAGGGCCTTGAAGATCCGAGATCCAACAATAAAACCCCATATCAAGCCCACACCCTGAAAAAACTCATACCATCCGCTTCCACGACTCCTTTTACGTAACCTTTGTTTCTCTTTACGCCTTTTCTCATTTCTCAAAAATAAATATTAATAAATCTATTTAAATATTAAAATTAAATTTTTTAAAGGATATTATTATTTTAATTTTACTTATTAATAAAAATTAATTGAAAACATATAGCAGTTATATATTTTTAATGCATTAAATATTAATTTTGATATAAAATCTGTGATATTTGAATTTCACTAATATTTTTTTATTAAAATCTTGTAATTATTTAATTATAATAAAAAATTATTTAAAAATTCACTATTTATTAGTATACACTATAAAAAATTTTAATGACCCTTCGTAGCCCAACAAAAATCCTAACCAAGCCCGACTCAAAGCAGGCCAAGTTTCAGAGATAGTGGGCTGATGACCCATCACCAAAAAAAAACCACCATATATACAGAAATTATGACATCTCTTTTGTTGACGATAACTTTCTCAGTTCCTGGTATCTCCGCACAAGCAAGGTAGAGGAAAGCTTAGAGATCCAAAAATGGCACCTGAACCAGAAGATGAGATCAAGGACGAGAAAAACCCCCGACCTCTTGACGAAGACGATATCGCGCTTCTCAAAACCTATGTAATTAACCTCTCTTTCTCTCCCCTCTTGGTTTGTTTTTTCCATTTCTTTTATGAAACTTCGATTTCCCTTTCTTTCTTTTCTTTTTTTTTTTTTTAAATTTTCACTTTGTCAGCTCTATTTCAGCTGCGGAAGTTTGGTTTTTATTCTTTAATTTTAGTATATTATCTGTTGTTTTGAGATGTGCTCATAAGTCATGACATCAACCGCCAATTTCTAGCGTTTATAAAGAAAAATGCACTATTCAAGACCTGATAAAATTTTTATGCTTCGGGATTTTTAGCTGTATTAATTTTGTGGGCAACTACATTAGAAATTTCCTTTTTTTTTTTTTTGGCAGGGTTTGGGCCCTTATTCAACGAGCATAAAGAAAGTTGAAAAGGAGATTAAGGAAATGGCGAAGAAAGTAAATGATTTATGCGGTATATGTTTTGCCCCTTTTTCGACTGCTTAATTTGCTATTTTACGAAGCCTTTTGTTGGCCTTATTTAGGTGCTTTTTACAGCATTTAGTATGCAATATAATATACCTATGGACATGTTTGGTGCATAGGATGATGTATAGGATAGGATAATAATCATCTGTTATTATGTTTGGTTTGTATCTAAAGAAACGGATAGGATTACAATGAGGATTAATTATACTTTTGGTATAGGATGATTCAATCCTCTCAAAGTGAATGGGATTATTTTATATCCATGGGATTGAATTTACCTGTACTATTATATTCTTAAAAATATCATCAATAATTTAAATTATATAAACTTTTAGGAAGGATAATTTTGATCAATAAATAAATTATCCTATCCTAATCCATGCACACGTCAAGCACAAGATAGGATGACATTATTTAATCTAATCATATTCATAACATCATCTTATCCTATTCTATCATAATCCTATATACTGAATGCATCCTATGTGTATTATATGTATCTTTACCACCAAAGAAAAGGATGGAAAACCAAATCAATTCATGTGGTATATTAGTTTATATTTTCATGTGAAAATTCTGTGTAATGGGTTGTGGTCGATGGAGCATAGGCTAGCTGGAGGGAACATACCTGCTTGTCTCTATATTCCATAATTTGCAGTATCAAACCAATTTGGACTAGGAAAAGCTTTCCTTATTGCGTACATTTTTTTAGCATTAATTTCTTTCTGCAATCTCTATTCTATCTGTCTATTTTTGTGTCTTCTTCTTGTTTGCCAGCTGGAAACATAGTATTATGTGAGTATGATTAGCAGCTGTGGTTATCATACTGAAGTACTGAGCTATATTTAATGATTTTATTTTCTTGTTAGTCATCTAAATTTCAAGCTTCAAATTACTCTTCACTTTCCACTATTCCCTAATTTGTTGCAAAATAGGTCTATTCTTAATGTATTCCTGTTTTCTGCTGGTATACTTTGCAAAATAGGCATCAAGGAATCAGACACTGGGTTAGCTGCACCCAGTCAATGGGATCTTGTCTCCGATAAGCAAATGATGCAGGAGGAGCAACCGCTTCAGGTATTGATTTTTACTAAAATGGTTTTAAGAAAATTGTGAATTTGTGTTGCCTTTTTTGCACGATTGAGTATTGACTACTTTTTCATCCAGGTGGCAAGATGCACAAAGATAATTAATCCAAATACAGAAGATGCCAAATATGTTATCAATGTTAAGCAAATTGCCAAGGCTTGTATCTTTAAGTCCCTGAGTTTAATTTTTGCCAATCTGGATAATTAAGCATATGCTTTCTATAGTTAAAATAGTTTCTTTGTAAGAAGAACAGACATAGAAAAATGTTTGTCTGATATGCATATGGGTTCTAACTGCAGTTTGTTGTTGGGCTCGGTGACAAAGTTTCCCCCACTGATATAGAAGAAGGCATGCGTGTGGGGTAAGTTTTCAATTTGTTGAAAGATTTCACCTGTGAATTCTTGTTTATATGTGTACATTTCGCAGTTACTGTCTTACACTTTGCCTAAAGTTTTATATCCTGTAAATAGTTTATTTCTCTTGCTGCAGTTGTATTATTGTCTTCATCTGTAGCCTTTGAATTTTTTAGATAGATGTATACGTGCAATTTTTGGGTAGAATATACGGATTATTTGTTTGCTGCCACTATTAATGGCATATGAAAACCCCAGGGTCTTGCCAACCATGGATTTGAAGCACCATTGAGTTGCCCCGTTTGGTAACCTCTTCTCCCTTAGAAAAGGGATTCAACCTTAAAAACTTCACGGCACCTAGCACTGTAACCAGGGGCAATAATCATTCAGTCAATTGTCACCAAGTATAACTGTTGGTCTATTTTACGATATATTCACCTCATTTGTATGATGGATAAGTTTGGATAGTCTTTTTAATAAAAATAGCAATAGTATTTGAATCCAAGCTTATATGAATTTTCATTCTTGCCTTTATTTTTCTTTATGGAAGCAATCCACGTTTTTATGCCCTTGTATGTTCTTATCTTCTATTGTGTATAAACTTCTTATCTCTTGACTGTTATTCTGCCTTTGCAGGGTTGATCGCAACAAATATCAGATACAGATTCCCTTGCCTCCAAAAATTGACCCAAGTGTAACCATGATGACTGTGGAGGAGAAACCAGATGTTACGTATAATGATGTTGGTGGATGTAAGGAGCAGATTGAAAAGATGCGGGAAGTACGTATGGCACCTTCTTCTTTTAATATGTAAAGGCTTACACATAGAAAACCTGAAGCCTTTCTCCTATTATTTTTACTTTATAGTAAGTTAGGATTAGAAACTAACATGCATGGATTGATGAGTATTGTTCGTTTAGGTTGTTGAGCTACCTATGCTTCATCCTGAGAAATTTGTCAAGCTCGGGATTGATCCTCCTAAGGGTGTTCTTTTGTATGGTCCACCTGGAACTGGTAAAACTCTTCTTGCGAGAGCTGTTGCAAACAGAACTGATGCTTGCTTCATTCGTGTTATTGGAAGTGAGCTCGTTCAAAAATATGTTGGTGAAGGAGCTAGAATGGTTCGAGAACTGTTTCAGGTTATAACCTACTAAATTTAGTTGTTTAAGTTTCTCTTCAAGTGATTCTATACTAATTTTATTTTGACATTATTGATTAACTGTAGATGGCTCGTTCAAAGAAAGCATGCATTGTATTCTTTGATGAAGTTGATGCCATCGGGGGTGCACGTTTTGATGATGGTGTGGGTGGAGACAATGAGGTTCAGCGAACCATGCTTGAAATTGTCAACCAGCTTGACGGCTTTGATGCTCGTGGAAACATCAAAGTCCTAATGGCAACAAACAGGTTAAACTTCCTACCTATAATTTCAACTCTCTTTGCATCTAGTTCTAGTTTGTGAAGCATTGCATCACCCTTTGTTCCTTTAAGTCAATCCCTACTAGGATTTAATGTTTATGAAAGGTTTTATTTTCATTAATTCTACAAGTATATGAATGTGAAAATGAGATGCTTACAGCATTTGTGGTCCTTTATTTTTGTGCATTTTTCAGGCCAGACACACTAGATCCTGCATTATTACGTCCTGGACGATTGGATCGTAAGGTTGAGTTTGGTCTTCCTGATTTGGAGAGTCGGACACAGATATTTAAAATCCACACAAGAACAATGAATTGTGAGCGTGATATTAGATTTGAGCTTTTAGCCCGACTTTGCCCAAATTCCACTGGTAGTCTTCCTTTATTGATTTTGACATGCTCTACTTTGTCTTGTCTTAATATTGTGTTTACTTAAAGAGTGATTTCGAGAGAGTTATGGTTTTTATTGGCAGGAGCCGATATAAGAAGTGTGTGCACGGAGGCTGGAATGTATGCAATTCGGGCTCGAAGAAAAACAGTGACAGAAAAAGATTTCCTGGATGCCGTGAACAAAGTCATCAAGGGGTATCAAAAGTTTAGTGCAACACCTAAATACATGGTTTACAATTAACCCACGTTTTGGTTCCTCCTAAAGACGTGTATTTGGTTCTATCACATTCAATGTTGTTGGAATCAGATATTTTCAGTGCTGGTTTTCCTGAATTTGTTTTTCAGTTGTTTAATTGGGATTTTATATTTGCCTAAACTTTTTGAATTTTTATGTTGTACTCGTTGCAATATATATTTTTCTTCTAAAATGATATAATATAATATGCTCTTTTTAATAACTTTTATAATTTATAAAAATTAAACTTTTGAATTACTAATAATGTGAATTCATTATTTGAGTTTTATTATAATATTCAAATATTTGTTTAGTTGTAATTCATTAATTCTGAAAATAAGGAAAATATTAAAATGTTTTTATTTAAAAAACTTATTAAATATGCTTTTGGTGCACGTGACAACAAAGCGTGACATGATTTTCAGTATTTGTTGAAAAATTCTACCTATTTTCGTGAATCAGATTTAAAAGATTGAATTTGAAAGACAAGTAAATAAGAAAATGTGTAAAGTCATTCATTTTTTCTCCTTTTGACTTCATTTTTACCGAATGAAAGCGAAGGTAAAAGGTTATTGTTTTTTCCCTTTTTTTGGGTGCATTTTCCTTCACACTTTCTCCTTTCTTCCTTTTTGCTTCTTACCAAACACAAATGATAGATACACTGTAAATGATAAATGAGCGCATGTATCTCTTTACTCAAACGAGTGGACTGAATCTTCCTTTCCCGCATTCCCGAAAGAATTGTATTCATTAGACACTTTAAAACATCATTCTTGTTCAAATTAAACGTCATGCATATATCTGAAAAAGCATGTTCGCTAAGACTACCATTGTCATGTCCACGGTGAAGAAGGTTCTCCAATTCCTCGGATGGTTCCATCACCTGTTCATTAAACGCCAAACCAACAAATAAATAAATAAAGAGCAGTAGAGATGATATGCATAAGCTGCCCAACCATAAATGCTACATCATCGAAATTGATCTTAAAGTTATGCATCATTGGGAATATTTACAAACAAATCCACAGACCTTATCAGCTATTGTTAGATTGAGATGTCACATGGGATTGACCAACTAAAGTAAAACAGTGTACTATTAGCATTCTTGTGATAAATAATGAAGATTGGTATTGAGAAATGTCTTTAAAGATGGAGAAAATGATAACCAATTTATCACCAAAATGGGTATTGACTTGACTTTGCTAAAGATCAAATAATTACCAGTTACCACTAAAAACTGATCACAAGAAAATGAAAAACTTCAATCGAACATACTCAGCGGGTAATTGAGCAAACGCAAGTGCAAGATCAAGGTAGCAAACTCGAAGTTAATCTCCTAATAATTGTTGGGATTTTAGTGGAATTTTTATGGAGTACTACTAGATCTAGGACCTTAGATGTCTGGCATCTGATTACGAGGTCTTGCAAATGAAAAAACGGACCTTCATTGTTATAGTTCTTGCCGCTTATTTTGTTAAAAATGATTGAGAAATGCAAAACAGAAAAACACAGATGCACATGAAGATGAAGACAAGAACATCAAGCAGGAAAAAGAAACCTCAAAAGAGGAATTGACTGATGATCAATTAGAAATCTTCTTCACTCTGATCAAGATTGAAATCAAAGCAAAGGTTGACATGGAATGCTTATCATTAACATTATGTACTCCAGTTATACCCATTCTTTTGAGATTAGCATATGCCTGCTTACCCATTGAAAACCAGGTGAATCCTTGGTTCTGTGCTTGGAATCATTATGCTCAGATTCATTCCCCTTCCCATTTGAAACCATCGAGTTTTGAACTTGGGAGTAATTTGAGACTAGCTGAAGGAGCTTCTCACTTCCCAAGAAACATCAAACATAGACAAAAGACAGTGAGTGGACAGTGATACCATATACCAATGAATTATATAAATTGGAGGGTTCAAAAATAGTGACTACAGTCAAGAATGACACCAAAAACCAAGAGATCCACACTATAAAACTTGAAATTCTGTATTGCTTAAAAACTAACTACTTTGTACTCGCCATCTAACTCTTCCTCATTCAGCTAGAAATAGAATGAGTCCAAGCACCTCAGGCAAAAAGCAACATGCATGTGTCATGGGCTGGGAGCTTAAGCCTAGCAACCATGCGACCTTAGGCAGGAAACTACTGTTTAGTATGCCTAAGTCAGCCTGTCCCAAACAATGTGCCTAGCACTTAGTGCTGTGCATTTAATTAGCTTTCTAGGAGTTTGGGAAAAAGCTAAGAAAGAGTGAGTTTAAGTGAGGAGTATTCTATTTGATGTATGTACACTTGCTCTTCTTCACTCTCAATGTGTTTCCCTATCAATGTGTCTCTCTAATGTCTAAGTCTATGTATCCAAGACCATGTACAAATGAGGGGGAGGGCTCCCTATTCATACTTGAGCCCCCTAACACATGTGGTTCTTAAGGTTCCAAGTGTATGGCTAATACAAGCTCTCCAGATTGTTTCAGGACCCTAGACTCGAGTTAGGTCGGTTAAGCCATTTCTAGAATCCTATTGGTTAGTCTCCCTGATGAGCAAAGGCTCTAAAAAGGTCTAGGCACTCCTGTTGGGTGACCATTCTTAGAGGCTTCACGAACCTTCTCTGCCTGAGCACTACATTGCCCATTTCTAGAGCTTTCCAAAATCTTCCCCAAATGAGTGCTACAGTACTCACTACAATGCCCATGCTTGGCCCATTCTCGAACATTTTGTGCCCACGCGTCTGGCCTATCTCTAAGCTGTTTTAGAGCTTTCTACGTCTGACTACTAGCATCATTTTATTAGAGCATTCTAAAACTTTCCACTGTGTAGCTCTCACACATGATACTAGACTACTCACCTTGGGCGTACTCTCGCACCCTGGCCTTGATCCTAGCCTGCACACTTGAGTCTCGTATGTGCTGTTAAGGCCTCGGTCTTGATCTCCCCTAGTTTTTTGCCTACACCAACTCCCACTTGGGCTTGGACTTGTGCGCAGATCGTGACATTAGGAGTGGGAGACTATTGTCAGGAGTTCTTGGAACTATTGCTTATGGTTCCCAGCATGAGTGAATGGGAAACCTTGTTTTACTTCCTGAATGGTTAAAGCTATGGGCAATAGTCGAGTTGAAATGGTATAGGGTGCAAGACTTGAGTTGAACCATTGCGGTTATTGAATCGCTAGTTGAATTTGAACGCACTAAGCCTCCCAAGCCTAGGGACGAGGGCATGAGTGGGAGAAATGAGAGTCCTAGCTCCTTATCAAAAGACGAGGATAAGGAAAAGCCCTAGCATCACAAGACAAGGACCAAGGAGTTTGCCAAGCACAAAGATAGAAAAGGCCATGTCCTTTAGTTGTTTCTTGTGCTTGGGACCACATAAGGCCAAGGAATGCCACAGTGAAAGAACCTTGTAGCCATTGTGGGGACTTATAAAAAGTCCAATGGCGAGAGTAGCGATAGTAGTTAGCACCATGAGGACCACTAAAGTGTTGAGGCTCAGTGCTATCCAATTGTGCCAAGAAATGTGGAACTCTTAGGCAGCGGATGAGGGCAATGAGAGTGTGGCCTCGGAGAGCCACCAATCAAGCCCAAGGGAAAGCCGGTTTGTTGGAGAAAGGGTAATGGCCCACGTGATGTGAGTGCTGCACACCCCGAAGGGCCCAAGGAGCACAGAGAGAGAGTAATGGCCACATGGTGAGGAGGAGAGGGTAATGGACATGTCATACGCTGAGCCACTGTGCACTTTGATGAGCTGGTTTTACGAAGGAAGCATCCGAAACAAGGCAAGAGCAAGGGGCAGTTACGAATGAGTGCCAAGGACCATCGGGACAAGAGTGGGAAATCGATCCAATGTGCGCATGAGGTGAAAGATCAGCATTCTCCTAGCAATAAGGGCATTGCTAGAATGAGTGGGGGAGAATGTCAAGACCTACGCGCAAGTCCAAGCCCAATTGGGTTGTGTGACAAAACTTGTTTAAGTTGGTGCAGGCAAAAGACCATAAAGGATTGAGACCGAAGCCTTCAAGGCACATACGAGACCCAAGTGTGCGAGCCACGACCAATGCCAAAGTGAGGGAGTACCCTCAAGGTGAGCAAACTGGTACCAGTAAAAACTGCACAGTAGAAGGTTCTACAAGGTGAGCAAACTGGTACCAGTAAAAACTGCACAGTAGAAGGTTCTACAATGCCTTAAAAGAATGGCACAAGCAATCAGGCGTAGAAGGCTCTAGAACAACATAGAGACGGGCCAGGCACACGGGCACAGAATATTCCATAAAGAGCCAAGTGCAAGCACTGTAGCACCCAAGGGGGGAAGATTCTGGAAGGCTTTAGAAGAATGCATTTTAGAGCTCAGGGAGAAAAGGTTCAAGAAACCCCTAGGCACAAGCACTCAGTGGGAGTACCTGGACCCTTCCAAACCCGGTGCTCAGCCAACAGCCTAAAACCAACAAAATTCTAGAAATAGCTTAACCGACCTAGCTTGAGTCTAGGGGCACTGGAACAGTCTAAAAGGCTTATATTAGCCACACACTTGGATTCTTAGTGACCACATATGTCATTGGGGCTCAAATATAAATAGAGGAGCCCTCCCCCTCATTTGTACATAGAACACAAGATAGTCATAGACATAAGTTGGAGACATAGACTTAATCATACATTGGGACATAGAGAAGGAACACATTGAAAGTCAAGAAGAGCAAGTGTAGATATATCAAGTAAATAGAATACTCTTCTCTTAAACTCTCTCCTTCCTAACTTTCTCCCAAACTCCTAGGAGGGTAGTTCAATGCACAGCACATTATCTAGGAAAGGCCGACTTAGGCATACTGGATATAATAGTTTCCTGTTTAAGGCCACACGGTAGTTACGCTTAAACTCCCGGCCCATGACACATGCGATGCTCATAAGAAAAACGGAAAGCAAAAGATAATCAATGCACTTTATAGACATATCATAGGTGGTGAGAAAAAAAGTGTAGCAAGGAACCACATGAGAAAAGTAGTCTTGCAAAAATCTAATCATATTTAAAAAAGGATATGGTTGAATGTATGACTCAAATTGAATGTCTACTTAAGGATTTTGTCTCTTATCACATTGAGGTAGATAAAGCTCATCTGTGATGTGACCTGTCTGGCTAACATAGAATTAAATTTTACTATAAAGAACCAGCTTTTAAAATAGGTTATGCCAAACTGCTCAATTCAAATATTAACCATGTTAACAAATCCCTCAACTACTGTCTCTTTTAAACCACCCCAAACTATCTAGGAACGGTGATCATCTACCTGGAGAGCCTGCCAATGTGAATCAGTACAAAACAAGACCCAAAAGAATGGGATGTTAGGCAGAGGTAGAACCAGTGTAAGAAAGAAGATTTAAGTGAGAATGTGAGACAAAATTGAAATTAAAAAAAAAAAGAAGCAGGAAAAAGAGGTTGCACAGTAAATGATGGAACAACAAAAATAACCACATATGTACGGTAAATGCAGTAGTCAGTGCAAGCAACGAAATTGAACTATAAAAGTATTTCCTGTGTATAACAGTACCCCTAAAAATCAGCGAACACTTGTTTAGTAATAATATTGCTTACATAAAGGAACTCATACAATATATAAAACATATAAGCATAATTAAACACAACAACAAATCTCCCAAACATTTTTTTATTAGATTGTTGGGGGTTAAATGTCAAGATATCAATAAGCCATCTACTGAGGCATAAACAGTAAAGAGACTCTATGTCCTTACACATCAGGCAGAAGGGCATTCCCAATAACACAGCAATGATGCCTCAGAAATGGCATGAACCAAGTTAAAGGACCTTTGCCACTATTATCATGTTCATTTGGAAAAATACGGAAACCTAGTAAAGGATTGTCAACTACATTTTCATGGTAAAAAAAAATTGGTTTGCACATGAGCAATTCTTCTAAACTCTAGCATATCAGAAAGCAAATAGAAAGAAGGTAGAACAATTACCTCAAGGCTATCTGTCGTAATCTTTGCCGCACAAGCTGTGCATTAAAACTGCAATATGTTAGAAGTATCAGGAACAAATCAGCAATCCAAAAGCACATTAAAATGCACAGAACCGACAAACTCAACAAGTTCTTTTAGCACATCATGCCAGATTCCCTGCAATTATCCAAAGTGCCAGACACTAGAGGACAGAAATCTGGTATTCTCAAGTGTCTGTCATGTTAATTTTTCCATAGAAGAAGTGATATATGCATCAAGATTTCAACATAGATACAAATCATATAAGGATGATTTATTCATTCTTAAATATTGACAAAGTTTGATTTAAAGAAAAATGTTAACAGAACAAGTAAAGGAAAAAAAACATTACCATCTAAAATCATGGGCAAATGATTGTTTGTAAAATGCCATTCACATTGTTTTACAAAAAGTTTGTTATATATGAGCTGTTGTAGGCCAATATATATATATATATATATGACCTGTTATGCCAAGAACATGGTAGCTATTCTAATTTGAACCAAATTTTAGAAAACCCTTTCTTCTACATCATCATAATGTTGTCCCTTCACCACAGAACTGGTTATCGAAGCTAGATAACAAAATAGAATATTGTCTGAATAGAAAAAAAATTGTACTTAAATACAGATCCTAGAGAACATTTGAATATAAACAGTAGCAAGGTAATGAAATATAACTATATATGAGATGTAAAACAGAACATGTAGCAGTTGAAATGAGAAGAAAAAACCTGGACGGGTATGTAATCTTAACATTAGTAACATCCTTAGTTATAGATTTCAACAAAATTTCAGATGGCTTAACTTGAACTAAAAGCCGCAATCCCAACCTACATACGTTAAACCAAAACAAAATCAGTATAAAGTAACGCCAAATAATCAAACAATTTAAACCAACCACATTTGACTTTCAAGTAATACCCATGTAGCTTGTTTTTGAAACTGCCCTCAGGCGCCTTTTCCAAATTCATCCAAGCCTTATTCATCTATAATAAAAAACAACAAAAAGAAAACCAATAAAGAAAACACAGCATTTCAAATACACATTGAAGTTAATGAGAGCATGAAATGAAAATATAAAAGGTGGGGTATTTAACATTTATAACATAGAAAGAAAGGAGAATAAAACAAAAGGGTGTACCTTGTTGAAATGAAATCAACAAGAAGCTCCGTATTCGCATTGAGGGGCTTGGAACTTGATGCTATCTTCTTCCAAAGCACTTTGACAGTGGAAAGAGTGTTGGTAGCGGTGGATTCTGATGCAGACTGGTCAATGGATCTGCTAAAGCACCAGTTTTTTCCTTTAATCGGGAACGCCACCAATCTTGCTCTCATGATGATGGTTTTTTTTTCTTTTATATTATAACCAGGCGTATATGCTTCAATATATACAAGAAAAGAACAAAAAAAGAGAAGAATTTATGGTGGTGGTGGGGAGTGTTGTTTTGGGTATTGATTCTTTTGGTTCAAATGGGTATTGGAAATCAATGGAATCAAAGGGATCTTTATATTCCAAAGTCAAGAACAAGAAAGAAAAGATCTTTTCTATAAAAAAATTCAAGACTTTAAAAGAAAAAAAAATGGTTCTCTCTATAAAGAATTAAAGACCGAGTCAACAAATTTGATTTGATGAAAGGTTCATAAAAACTTAAAAATGATAAAAAAAATAAAAAGATAAACATTGGTTTCGAGAGATTGTATAGACAAGGAAAGTCGGAAACCAAAAAGAGGAGAACAGATGAGAAGCGGCGCGCTTGGATGCCGTAACTGATAGAGAAGGGACTAAGCGGCCGGTTCGGTTCGCAAGTGTGACTATTATTTTTTTTTTTTAAAGGAAATTTTGAATATTTTTATGTTATGTCAATATTTTACTATTTTAGTTCTAGAATTGTTCTCTCAGCTGTTTCCCACGTGCTCACTAAATTTTGAACTCAAATCTAAGGCATTTACTTACTCGGGGTTAGTTTGGATTCTATTGTGCTTTCGTAGAAATGGAATCCAATCGGATTAACTGTATTTTGGGTATATTTGGATAGTATCTTGCGGTATAGTTGGTTCAAATGTTTATATTTTGCATTCAAACATTTTTATCACTAATTTTAATATTCACCCATAATATTGTATTAAAAAAAATGAAGAAAAAGAGCAATTATCTTTAATGTTTGAAAGGTTCAAAGTTTAAACATTTTGTTGAGAGAAGATGGGATATTGTCAATCAAGTTAGATGTAAATTAACATTATTGGTAGCTGCAAAGAATGTAAAGTTTATGCTACTAACCATTACAGTCGAACAATGGCAAAGGAATAACTCTTTATTTCAAAAGTTGAAGAAATATGAATAACTTTGGCTCCTCAAAAAGTTACAGAAATATAGAAAAGGATATTGAGTTTAGATGAAATAATTTTGGGCTGTAATTCAGCCGAGTTCATGCAATTATTTGTTAGTGATATCTAACAAATCTGTAATTCAAATTTTAATATTTATAATTATTTTTATTCTAAGCCGAGACTTTTATAACTCTTTCTTCTATTCTTAGCTGCGACTTTTTTTTGTACAAAAAATATTTCTACCGTTAAATCCTTACAAGAATTGGGCGAACAGGCCCTTGATTATTAATCTTAAAGAAGTTCAAGTAATTGTCTCCTCAACTAGGGATAGTAATTTACAAAGTTAATAAATGAATTCAGGTTTAGGGGCTAAATTCATGAACGGCAAAGTGGATGACATAAAACACACTCGATCACAGTGTAAGAATGTTGTTAAACTAATAAGTAATCAATTAAATGCTCTTATAATACACTACAATACAATAATCGCAAACCTACCATCCGCTGCAATGGACTATCTCGAGGAGCATGAGACGATGCTTAGTTATGACAAGTTTACAACCTGCTATTTCTGCACATTCTTCACTCCTTACCTGCTATAAAGTTTGGCTCTTCACCCTGGCATAAGTACTCATCACATAAAGATGCAGTTCCCCAGTCCTTTCGGAGCCTCAAAATGTCCTCCGTGAAAGTTGATCCTGGAGCTCCAATGAACACACTCGACATAGCACAGATTGTCTTATCCAGCATAGCTTCCACCTTCAATATAACAGTCAAGTGCAAATTTAGATCAATCTAAGAAAAATAGGTGTGATGTGTACTAAAGGTTAATGCACTAGGGGGCCTCATCATGGATCGAAACAATCCTTGGCACTGTCCTAAACAATAATGTAAATCAAATACTTCAGAAACTTCAAAAGCTTTCTTTGATCATCAGGGGCAAAAAACAATAGGGACAGATTCGTACTTTTCATAGCCAACCACAGCTTGATATTCAGTGGGAAGAACTAGAAAGTGGACAAGGAAAATCTGAGGGAACCTTTGGTACTAATAAAAACTCAACAAGTTAATTCAAGCCTTAGACCTAACACGTAGAAGGCCTCAATCATTCATAACATCTAATCCATAGACCTAGCACTTATAATCATTTTGGCAAAATGTGATCAAGAAAACAGGGTATACCCCAGTGCAATAGGGAAACAAGCCTCCACTACTTGACGACCCAAATGGGCAAGTCAACCTGCTGATAATTTCTCAACAGGTTGGAGTTGAAAACTAGAAAATCCTGAACTCATCATGGTTGAGGGCGTGTAGATCATTCTAACCCTTGAATAGAATACAGGATTGTTCAAAAGCATAATCAACTCATGTTCTTCTTACCACTAAAACTAAACTAGTATAAAATCTCACCTGAGGATCATCCTGAAGGCCATGTCTGTATAACAAGGCATCCCATTTTTCAGCTGAATTTCGCCGAGGCCGTTTAACTAGTGGTATAATCCTCCCATTCAGCACAACCATCGATTGCAGCAAATCAGTTTCACTTTCTGCTGCATCTGTTGAAAGGTATATAACTGGAGTATTGGCCCTTTCAACCATTTGCGTGATGCAATCTGCAGCTTGTGGAATAGGGTAAAAGCAGCTTGGCTTTTTAGCATTGCTGGAAAATAAGCAAGAAATATTAGTGGCATTTTTACGCAATCCATCCTTAGAGCATAAGGAGACACAAACTTACCAAAGAAGTCAGTAAAAGAACATTTAACTAAAAGGCCAATGGCCAACCCATTTGTTAAGACGCCCTTCCTTGTACGACTGGAAATCTAAAATATGTGCAATTCCGCATCATTGCAAAAAAAATGCAACTCAAATACTTTAAATTCTCAATCAGATGGACAAGAAGATGGACACACTCTTTCATGCTCTAGCAAATTCCAATGCTTTGAAATCAAAGCCTATGGATCCTAAAGGCTGAACCATGCCATATGCTCAACTAAAACAGATAACATTCTCATTCTAATACTATCAACCTAACAATAAAAAACATTTAACGAAGAAAAAAAAGACCAATGCCATCATTTTAAGGTTTTACTTTCCATTCTCTAGGATAAATTATTGCTTAATAGTAAAGATTCTTACTTTCTTCACCAAGTTCCAATGTTTAAATTAAGAAATCACAAACAAAAACGAAAACATACCAGAACTTCAAGAAGCCATGTCGCCGAAAATGGAGAGCAATAAAATTACTACCCAAGAATGTCTGAATAAACCGTTCGGCAGTCAACAAGATATTCTTACTCGGCTCGATCAAAGTCTTACATTTATGCGCAAGCGGACCACCTGGTTGCAACACCCAATCTCTCTCCACATCCGCAAAAAAGACATCTCCAATTGCAATAACATCGTCATCCGAACCAAACTTCTCCTCCACATCCTTAACCGTCCTTTGACTCGGCTTCTTAATATCCTCACTCTTCCAAGCAGTCTCTAATTTGCCCATCGAAATCCCCAACGACTTCAACTTCTTCAAATGCTCTTCGTCCACGTAACACGGCTGCGGACTCGAAAAGTAGCAAATGAATTTATCAATGTGAGCGTGATTCTTCCTGATTGCCATGAAGTCTTCGAATGGGATAACAGCTTTTTTCCCAATACAGTCGTTAATGTGCTCGATATCCAAAACTCGATTGTACTGAAAATCGAACCTCGAACTTGGAATCACCAATGCCCGATTCAGAACAGCCGCGAAAAACATGTGTTTTTCCAAACAAATCAAATGGTTACTCATTTGACCCGACAAGCAAATCGCGAACAAAAATTTGTTTGGTTTCGGTTTCCATTCGATTGTTCTTCTCTCAGAAAATTTCTGGTCAACTTTTCTGCAACGGCCGAAACTGTAACTGGCAACATTGGGGTTTAAGACGGTGCTGTTTTGAAGTGTGTTTCCGGTTTTGTGAGGTGATAAGAGGATTTGCTGGATGTGTTTGTTCAACGTGATCTGATTGAGTAATGAGGCTTTGATATCATTAAATTGAACGGCTGTGATGTTGCTATTAGAGTTAACGAAAGTGTGATTCCACAGAGAAAGAAGGGAACTTTGCTGTTGATTTAACAAGTAAAGAGCTTGGAGTTGGGATTCTTTGATTCGATCGGACACCGTATTGAATTTAAGGGAGGAGATGTTGGAAGAAAATAGGGTGCGAATGTCTTTGGAGAAGTAGATTGGGATGATGAGGAGAGGAAGAAAAATGGCGAAGAGGTAACGTTTGTTGAAGGAAAGCTTGAAACGCCGTCGAATTTGCGATTCGAGCTCTTCGATGTGGAAACTCGATCTTCGGCCGGTGGAAGGGTGTGGACTGGCGGGGATTTGGTGCGGGAGGTTTTTGGTGTCGTTTTGGTGGATTAAGGTTTGGCGGTCGTCGTCTTCGTCGGATGAATCTCGCTCCATTGTTGCTTGGGCGTGACTCAGCGAGTAAAGCAGTGAGTGAGTGCGTGAATGGATTAGTCGGTGATGATAACTGGGAATTTCGAAAATATTTTTTTTATTAAATGGAATCAGGGGTTGGTTTATTTTTAGGGGTTTTAATTAAAAATAATATTTATTTTGAGTGGAGTTAGCGCAGGGGAGGAAAAATGTCAATTGTCGATGAAGCAGAAACAGTCGGTGGAGGAAAATGACTCCCCACCGGCCCACCATTGGCTTGGGTGGGTTGGATCCACCGGCCCGATCTAATTTCTATCCAACAAGTAAACGACATCGTACTTTTCCCCACGGGAGAATTAGAGAAATTGCCACGTTGCTAACATGGCACGTGGCATCAATATTCTATAAACGTGGACAATGAGTAATTGGAACGTAAAGAAATAAATATAAGAAACATGAAGGTAGGAAAACAGGAGAAAAAGCTTGAGCTTGAAGAAATCTTCATTGCTAATAATGAAGAGGAGACTTGGGGTTAGTGGGAGATGGTGAAGCGCTGCGAGCAGTGCTAGGATGGTTTGGAACCAGAAGCAGGACCATAGGCTCCGGCTCATTACTCTCATCGTCAAACCGAGCAGCGGTGCATGGGTTTAAGCGGCCCATCAATGAAAAAATCGATGCAAGTGACGTTTTCTCTATTCCTTTCTTACTATTGATATAGCAAAGTTTCAGTTTTGATAAATTCGGTGTTCTTATTTTTATTGTGTTTATGTTTTGTTGGTGATGGGTTCTTTTCTGTAGGAGGTGGAACAGGAGATCAAGAAAGGGAAAGAAGAGAAAGAAAGCAAGACGAAAGAGATTGAGAAAAAGGCAGACTCCCATGTAAAGAGCAACCAAGACTGTAACAAGTAATGCTGTACTTTAAATAGAAACACTACCATTGTTGAAATTTGGAAAAGTTTTTATCATCCTCTTCTTATAAGTTGTAATTTCTTTTCTTCCTGATGAACGTAACCATGTAATCAAGCATGCCTACCAGGCAGTAGTTTGCCATTAGAACTCCAAAACTCAAGATTCTAATGTAGCACCTCTGTCAAAAGCTATAGCCTACACATTGAAGTTCACAGCAATCATGGTTAGACGAAACAAGGCAGTTCAATAAAGAACTAATCCTTTTTACATTAGAATTTGGAAAAAGTATTGCCAGATACATCCGTGCTTCAAGTGCCGTAATTATAACAAAAGATTTTGCCAAATGCAAATGTTAAATATAGATGGCGTATCGACTCCACAAGTCAGTGGCAGTGCCCAAGCTGATTCATTAAGGTTGTCGGACTCTTGTACATAACACATAGCAGTATATGAGCAGTATGTTCAGGAAGCTCAGATGAAGATCTGTGTCTAGTTTTATGGTATTTATGAAGCTTCTTCAGTGACTTCAACAAGCCTACCACGGACCCATTTCTTAGTTACAGCAACTGCTTTAGAAGGCACGTAATCGTCCTTCAGCTTAACTTTGGTTCCATTTGGGAGAGGATTCTTCTCATCTTTGATAATCCCATTTGTTACCAACTGATCGAGTTGCTTGGATGAATTAGACTTCTTAATCAAACTTTCAAAGTTGGTAGTTGATAAACTATAGTTATTCGAGCTTGGAGAAGTAAGTTCATCACCCTCACCGTTCACTATCATTGGGAACATAAAGTTGGGGAAATTAAACTCCTCATTCTTCCTTAATGAAAGGATTTGGTTCCCATTTACTTCTTTCTTGTCTGCTTGGCTCAAACCACCTTTTTCTGATTGCATTTTCTTCTGAACCTGGCTAACTTTAATTGGTTCAGCCGAGTCAACAGAAATATATCCACCATTCTCATCAGATGTAACCTGTCCTCTCTCTATTGATTCAATTGATTGAATTGCTTCAGCTATAAGCTTTCTGGTTTCAATGAGGGAAGATCGAGCAACAGGGCTCTTCATTGCAGCAACCTCAAGGGCTTTCGCAGCCTTCTCAGCTTCACCGATTAAGAGTCTGCAGTGTCATATATGTAAGCATATAGTTATCCAGTGACTCATCTACCTATTTTTTTTCGTTGGTACCCAAATCATAGCAGAATGATGAATAGAAATGATTAAGGGGTACATCTATGACTGAAGGTTTGGGAAGGTGTAATTCTCCCCCTTGTGCCTTGGGTTTTTTGTAGCTACCATTCATGTAATATGCTTGCAGAATTTAAGGAAAGACAAAGAACAATTTGCTAACCTTGCTCGTTCAACAGCTTCTGTTTTCTTGGATTTTTCTGCTGCTCTTTGCGCTCTAACGTTCTTTATCATCGCGAGCTTGGAACTGACCATAGGATCCTTATAAAGTGGTTTATTTCTTCTTCGTAACCTTAACCGCTCAAATGGGCTTGTGGTCTCACCAGTAGAAGAATGGTTTGTATCACTAGCTTTCCTTTTTGAAGGGCTCTGCTTGGACTGTGTAACAGCTGTTGGCTTCCTCTTTGGTTTTCTTTCAGCCCCATCTGGTATGCCATGGTAGTTTGCCAAGCCAGAGAAAACTCTTTCACGGTATTCCTACAAATGGAAATCCCAAATTCAGATGCAAAGGTATAATGATATCATGTCGGAAATAAATCCGTTGGAACAATCCCCTGTTAGGTATAGTCATAGTCCATGGCAATTCTGTTAACTGTAGATGCTTAGTTGGTGATGAGGGAAACTGAGGTAGCAAAACAATAGGGTCCGGCAATCAAATATTGAAAAGGTTGAGACTTGGGTGTCTGGTTTGAAAAAAATATATAAATAAATACAAGCACTGGGAAAATGGAACACACCTGTCGCACCCAGAAACAAGTTGGGTCTGGATGTGGTCAGGAACCTTAAATCTAGAGTTTAATTCCAATAACATATTCAGGTTTCTTAATATGCTAATATTCCTTCCCTTTCTCGGTATTCTTCCACTTGTTCTGTCATTTTCTTTATTTATTTGTGAACTCTCACTTCAATTTAGCCTCAGTTGGATCGACTTCACGCTCAACTCCTATAACCTCAGATCTTTTTTATGATCAAAGTTATTATTTCCACAGGAGAAGGGAAAAAAAATCAGGCAAGCACTTACAGGATCAGCCCATTTGGCTGAAATGGCTGCTGCAATTTTCCTTCTTTGTTCAAGGGATTTTGGTGCTCTCTTGCTACCTTTTGGCCTACGCATCCTTTTCCTTTCTTCAAGACTTTCCAACCACTCCTTTGTCAGCTGCTCATCTAGCATCTTGTAAGAATCCCACTGTAGCTCTTCCTCACCAAAACAGCCTTTTCTAGATGCTTCAGCAATCAAGTTCATCCACTCAAAGTGGCAAGTTTCCTGTACCATTAACTTCTCACGGCGCCTTTCCCGTTCCATTCGTACTCCAATTCTAATTTTTGCTCTTGTCTCTCTGCTGCAGGATCATTATGAAGAATGTCAATTTAGATATAAACGATGTAGAAAAGCATATATAAATTTCAGAAAGTTCAATATATAGTAGCTGCAAACCCAAGTACAAGCTAATTCAGGACATATATAAGAACTTTGACTAGGAGTGGCTATAACTAATAGAGGAAGATGGCAGTTTTAAAAGTAAAACCCTAACAATAAAGTACCCACCTCTCAACACTTCCACGGCTAACCATTTTCATTTTGACCTGCATTTCCAAATTTTCATAGAGTAAATAACTCTGATGCCATTTGAATGTGATTACATAATGAAGAAAATAATTTTCTTTCAACTTGTGTAAGGTTATCTCAGTATTCAGAACATAATGCCATCAATTCCCCTTTCAACTAGTTCATTTCTTTTTCTTTTTTTTTTTGAAAAATTAAAAGTCATTTAACATGCTTCACTCTCAAAAGAGATGGAACGAGGCTCATTAATGTGGAAGAAAATTATGAATGAAAGAAGTCAGTGCCAAATATATGAAATCCCAACTTGTGGTATCAACAAATATTACCAGAAATAAGAGGTAAATAAATGAAGTAATTATAAAGAAACATTTCTCATTGTAAACAAAAAACTGATTGGAATGCTTCAGACAACTCAAAGATTGGGTGGTACAGAAAGATGAGAAACTACAGCAACTTAGCCAATTTATGCTATGAGGTGGAGGAGATCTCATGTTTTTAAGGACAGATAGATCACTAGATTCATGCAATATTTATTTCAATTTTTTAAGTATAGATTCATAGTATGAATTGTAACGAAAGATTGCAATTATAGAATGTACAAAATAAAAGGATGGTAGGGAGGCCTTCTAACAGTTCGGACCTCAACAAAACAAACTTTGCATTCAATGGTTTGCTTTTGGTTTTTGTGCTTAACTAGCATCCACAAACCAAATGGCCATTAGTCCATCATCCATCCCTAATGGGATAATGATGGCAAAAGGAATTTATGGACCAGTTAAAGAATGAACTAATTGACTCAAATATGCAATAGATAACAACCTATTAGCCGCAAATCAGATTTATTGATTGGATTGATTTCACTCTATGCAAACATAAACACAAAAAGTTCAGTCACCATGAAAACATTAAAAAGAAAAAATTTCTTACATGACATCACCTTAGGATTCTGCATTGCAAGCCTTGTTCTCTCCCTTATCCGCTGACGCATCTCTGGAGAAAAAAAAATTATATGCATTTGCGGTAAGAGGGTAACAAAAATGCACTAAATAAAATAGAAACAGACTGATTAATAGAAGAACCAAGGTATGTTAATGGAAATTACCAGCACTGTACTTCTTGCCTTTGTTCCATGGTATGTTTCCTTTATTTGCTTTAGAGATCCTCATCCTTCTTAACTTTTCTCTCTCATCCAATTCCTCGTCTGAGTCTCCAGACTTCAAAGATTCAAGCCGAGTTGATGAAGGACATGAATCACCACCAAGCTGTGACTTACTACGTCCATATTCTTTTGGAACTGAACAATTAGGTTCAAGGGTAGCAACAGCTCTAATCTGGAGTTTTCCACCTTGACTATCCCGGTGTCCCACATGAAAATTTACCTTTTTAGGGAATTGGGAGGATTTCCAAGGATTTGACAACACTTGACCATGAATAAAGGTTTGAACCCTGACTGGAACCAGAGGACTTTGCAAGGAAGGTTGAGCAGTGGCAATATCTGTTCAGGCAGCCAAGCACAATAAATAAGCTCATTCATACTTCTCAGTAGAAGCTGGTGATCAAATACAGAAACCAGGAAAAAAAACCCAAATATGAAAAAAGGACCCATATATTAGCTGCAAGAGTTCTTATGAAAACAACCAGAGCAGAGACAAATAATGACACACAAAAACCATAAAAGTAAACCACTTTTTTTCTTCCAAAAGACAAATAACAAAATATAAATTGAAGCTAAACATGCCAATTGCAAAAGCAAAAAAAGAAAATCTGACATTTTTTTCTTTTAAGCTTTCAAAGCACTAAACTCTCTTGAACTAAATCAAAGTAAGGAAACAAAGAAAAACCCAGAAAAGAAAAGTTTACCTAGCAAAGGCATGGGAGCTCATTCAGCCCAAACATTCAAACTCTGGACTTAGAATCTTATCTCAACAAAACATAATAACACAATCGAGACGCCTGCATTTAAGCAACCAAAAAAAAGAGATTTTTTTCTCTTTTAGAATGCTGATAATATCAGAAAAAAAAAGTGTAAAAAGCAAGAGAAACTGAGTTTGGCTCACAGAAGCATAGAAATTTGAGATGCAGAGTGTTTCAGAAGAGCAAAAAAGCAAAGAACGAGAAGCAGAGAGAGCCACACAGAGTTAAAAAAAACGAGATACTTGTCTGATATTTGCAAGCGCTGGGTTTGGGATCACAAGTTCACAGATCAGCCTTTATTCCATCTGTGAAAAGCCCGAATTGATGTAACAGGGGCTGGTGATTTGCTGGGTTTGTTACATCCTGACCATCACTTTTTGGGCCTAAAGTTTTGATCCTAATGGAAACTAACAGTACAAGGACCAATGGACAGGTTGTAATGTTTTCTAGCCCTTACGATCTTGTTTTTATATATGATGAAAAAAATGTCCTACTCCAGTGGTTTTTTGGTTTTAGAAAAAATTTAGAGAATAATATTGTATTTTAACTCTCAAACATGAATTAAAATATTTCTTCTATCTTCTTTTATTACATTAATTTATTATTATTTTAAATATATCTTAAATAATATGCGTCAATTTTTTAATTTTATTAATAGGTTGAAAAACTCAACCCACGATATATTTTTGCATAATTTTCATAAAATTTAAATGATTTTTTTTACAAGAAAAAGTCGTGTGCTTGAATAAAAAGGATGAAAGGAATATTTCTTTAGTCCAATTTTTTTATATCAAAGTTGTAGCTTAAAAATAAAATAAAAAATTATAAATATTGAAATTTAAATCATGGATGTCACATCTTAAAAGTTGTTATATAAATTGATTGAGTTAAACTCTAAATTTTTTTTAGTCCAATTTTGAAAAAAAAAAATTCCATCTGCATTAACTTTGTGAACTAAACTCAAATTACTTATCCTAATAGAATTCCACCCCTAACCAAAAAAAAAGGGATTTACTAGTTCTAAGTTGAGGTAAAGTAAATAAGGTTGATCAATGAAAATATAGGATGCTTAAATATTCTATTTATTTCGTATATAACTCAAATATTGAACAAATTTAAAATTGTCACATGTTAGATGACATACATAAGTTAGTTAGGGGGAATGAACATCTAACCTACTGATGATAGGGCAGACAAGTTTTAATTTGTCAAAGCCAGGAATACCAGTTATTAATCCAAGAAATGAAATCATAAAATTTGACACAAACCTGACCATATATATTCCTCTAAGCTCTGTTTTTCTATTGCAAAACAACCCATTAAAACAAACTTGATTGAGTTTGAAGCTGTTCAGATGTAAGAAATTCCAAATTCCATCAACATATTCAGTCAAGATCATGCTCCCGACAATCTTGGTTTTCACAGCTTTCCTCGTCTTCAGCTGCCTCCATGTTTATAACAACAAATGGTTAAAGCGATGGGTTGGAAATGGAAGTAGCAGACATGAAGTTGATTGCGTGGTGTGCCTTAGCAAGGTCTGCAAGGGGGAAAAGCTCCGGTCGCTACCAGTATGTCACCATAGTTTTCATGTTCACTGCATTGATGCCTGGCTCAAAGTTCGTCCAACTTGCCCTCTTTGCAGGATTAACGTCGCCCCTCACCAACACTTTCTCATTTCTTCCTTGGTTTCTTTTGCTAGAAGACTCGGAAAATGGATTGAAAACCCACTTTCTTTGAAGCTTACATCGGCGATTTGTGAGAGTTTTGGCTATATTTAAGCAAGTCAGCTTAGCCTAACCTGCAAAACACGATTCATTCTTTGATAGGTCCTTCTTACATAGGAGAGAAGGCAATACCATGTATACATTCTTTTATTGACACATAGTACCAAGGCTTCATCACACATCCAAATCAAGCATCAAATTTTTTTATTCATGTGTTTCGTATGACTCGTATTACTAGAACAGTTTACGATCATTAGTGTTAGTATTATATAACTGAAACCTAAAATCTCTACAGAAATTTTATCTCACTTTAATGGTTTAAGTCAAAAATCAATTACTATATGTTATCATTGTCATTTATTATTTATAAGAAATTAAGAGTTTTGATAATTCAAATCTAACTATATATCTAATATTCATCTAAATTTTATCTCACCCTCACTGTTTAAATTAAAGTTAAATAGTCATATTATTAAAGTCTATGTGAATAGACAATGAAATTAATTTCAGTGAAATTGAAAATAACAGTAAATGTAAAATTAAAAATAGTAGTCATGTGGATGGACAATGAAATTAATTTCAAAGAAATTGAAATTGACAATTGAAATAAAAAATAGTTACGATAATAATGAAATTAAAAATAATGATGAAATATGTATTTAGATATACAAACAATTGTGCGGTGAGATAAGAATAAAAGATAATCATTAAAAATTTTACTTTAAAAATACATTGATAAAATTTTTTATATATTTTAATGTTATCTATAACATTTATTATATAATAAAAAATTATTTATTATATTAAATCAACAAATTTATTTCAATATTTTTAAATAAAAAATCAAAATGAAAAAATATGAAACTCATAATTTTAAGAAAAAATAAAAAATCCTAAAAGTAAAATCGAAAAAAATTTGATTTTCACTAAAGCTAAAAGTTTTCGTAATTAATTAGCGCTACCTGTATCTCAAAGATGATATCTAAATGATACATTTGAATTAAAAGAAAATAGCAAATCCCATCGCACTAATGTTTCAGTGGGATCCAAATAAATTCTTAATCAATATGACAAAACGAAGAAGTTCAACTACGATTCTCTTTGATACACTTGAATAGACTCTCGTATGTCCCCACTGGCCATTGCTCATTGGTCTTACCAACCTAATTATAGTTTCAAGAAATTTTGAGTCATACACCAAAGTAATTTTTTATGATGAAAAATGGTGGGTTTGAAACCTTAAAAACATGAAAGTTAGGAGGAAAACTAGAGCGGCTGATTTTCCCCAGGGGAAAATAAATTCGTGTGGCAGATTAGGCCTGTGTTCTTCCATGCCCTTTCTCAAAAGTCCAAAAAGAAAGTTATCAATGCTCGCAATTCATCCACGCCAATGTTTGATATTTTTTAGTTTAACCACTTGATGTTTGCCATGGATTGGCAATTATGAGGACGAAAAATCATTCCCTGTTCATCATTTTGTCCAACTTCTTTTTTAACCTATTCGGAATATATTCTAAAATTAAAACTTTAAAAGCCCAAAATTGTGGCAAAATCATGCGAATTGTTTCAATGTGGCAAAAGCTGTTAAATTCATGCAAAAGCTTCTTTGGTCATGTAAAATAAAAAAAAAAAAAAAAAACTTATGAATATTCAAAAGCTGAATGATTTTGGGACTTGATTGTCATGAGATCCTATTTTATGAAAATTGTTTATTTCGTTTACATTTTATCGCCCCAAGACAACATGATTGCTTTAGGCTCTATTTGTGGGTGTGTGACGATGTAGAAAAAAATTACGACCACACTCTCAAATGGAACTTTAATTATTAGTATTGTATTCGGGTGATAGGGCAACAAAACTGGTTCATTAAGAGCACAGAATTAATTAATTAAAAACTGCAAGCCCCATATTCTTTGCTATAGTTCAAGTGTGTGAAAGGTTGGTATTTTGGTTGAGTTTCAGTTGAAACCATTTACATCATTGGGGTGGGAGAAAATGAAGTCAAATTTTATTTACTCCAATGTTGAAAATCGGGTGCAAATCAGCGGTATTTTCGCACGAAAGTAATCAAGAATCAAAGGATTATTAGTTCTCTTGAGATTTGTGTTAAAGAAAATACGAAAAAGATTTGCTTTATTTACGTAATAATCCATGTGCAAAATTGTCGGCTATGACCATATTCTCTACCTTGCAAAAGCAAGTTTGAGGTTTCATTTGCATGATTATTGGTATTGATTACGAAGAAATTGAAAATAAAAAAAAATTATTGTAATTATGATTAAAAAATTTAACAAAAATTTATATTAAATAAATTTTATTAAAATTGATATTTAAATTCAGTTAATGATACAATAAATTTAATCAAATCATATTAAAGATGTGATAAAATTCAAATCTTAATATTAATGTAAAGCTAAATGTTGAGGTTTGCAATCTGATATGAGATAGAGTTTTATTATTATGATGAAATTGTTTGATAATAAAATCGAATCCATGATCATAACTCACTAGCTCGGATAAAATATGTTTTTTAAGTTTTAATAATCTTTGTTATCACCTAATTACTCCCAAAAACCAGGGTTCAATTGAAATAATTTTGGTGTTAAAATTTAGATTTGACGGCTGACCTAACTCTTGACTGATTCAAAGAGAGCGTCTCCGCAGAATGCAGTACCCCGGGCGGCCCGCGAGAGTCGTCCTGGTCATAATCACGAGTCAAGACTTGAACTTGAAGCTGGGGTTTAAGAATGTTATTGATGGAGCACCAATGTTCCATCCTTTTGTAAGAGAAGAAAAAAAATGTTGCAATGCGATCTCAAAGGGGAAGAATTTTTTGTATTTCTCTGAGGTTAAGCAGGGTCTGTTTGCGTAGTCTTTTACTAGTCAAAATGCCACAATAGAAGTCAAATTTTCTTAGTTCATAGACAAAAATTCTTACCATAGCTTAAAACCATAGAAATTACGAATTTAGTTTAAACAATTCACTTATTTTCTATAAAAGTTAGATTCCAATAAAACTGAAATTCTATTTTCAACACTTATAAATTTTTTTCTCAAATTTTTTCTAAGATTTGGCTTCCCTTTTTTGCCTCCCATTGTAAAGTTCAATGGTTGGCCTGCATAAGATTAGGTTTGGGTGAGGGTCCTCCCCAATTTTTATATCCTGCATTTCTCTCATAAAATGGAAATGGAATCTATGGGATGCATTTAATCAGTTAATCATTTCAAAGAAATGTTCAAATTTCCATATGGGATACATTTCTTGAACCTAACAATGTTTATACTCTTTCAAGTAAGCATTAATTGGATTTGAGTAAATGAGAAATGTGAGCTCAGATTGTGAAGAGAAGATGAAAGCAAGATAGTTAATAGTTATTTCATTTTCTAAAAAACAAAAGGAAAGAAAAAGAACAAGTCATCGTCTAGAGGCTGTTTCCCAGAAACTGGATTGTGAAGGGAACCTTTTTATGTGTGGAGTTGACATGATAGTACCAAAGTATACAGAACGGAAATTTTATAGGTGGGAGGAGGACCCCATTGTCAAATGAGGTGAAATTTCATCTTGTCTTGGATTATTCTAAAAACGTAGATGGGTAGTTGATCACCTTCTCAACAGCAAAATTTTGAAAATAAATAATGTTTCAGTTCAGCTGCACCTTTGAAAACTTCAGTTGTCATATAGTGGGAAGAAATTTCTTTAAAATGGGATCAAAGCTCTGATAATGGTAGGTTTACCCTAATTCAAGGAATACTTTATTATTGTTTGAAATGAAGAAGAAAAAGTCACAAACAGAAGAAAAATGAAAAAAGAAATGGTAGAATACAAGTGTCCCATAAGCAGCCTATTTGTTAGAGGTCATAACAAGTCGCAGCTCAACCCCCTTTCTCTAATCTCTTTCAAAGCAAATCCAAAAAAGTATCTCTTTCTTTGATTCTTTCAATATCAAAGTCCTCAAAGTGGACATTTTCTTTTTGGGATCTTTTCCTTGAATTCTCTTGAAACTTATATCCACATTTTCTTTCCCCCTTTAAAACCCACCTATACAAACTTCTCTCCATTGCCTTGGTTTCAGAATTTAAGCCCATTTCTCATGTGGGGTTCTCCTCATTTCCTTCCATTTGTCTCTATTTGTTTGATTACTTTCTTTACATGTTAAATCCTAGTTGGCTTAGGAAATTTTAGGCCTTTTCCCACCTCGGTATCCTTCATTTGGAAACAAAATCCCAGTTGGGTTCTGCAATTTTGGACTGTTTCTAATTGAGTTAGTTCTCATTTCTTTCCACATAATAGAATTAGATCAAATCTTTTTGCAAAATTTTACTTCAATTCTCATCTGAGTATCTCTCATTTCCCAAGAAACAAAATCCCATTTTGATGCTGCAATTCTTGGCTGTTCCTTATACAGTTTGCTCTTATTTGTTTGCTCATTAGAAGTATAAAAATCAAATCCTTTTACATAATTTCACTCAAATTCTCCTCTCATTTCCTGAAAAGTTAAAAGCTTTGTCCTTTTTTCAAGCCATGGATAAACCGGGTTTTGATGAATCAACAGCAGTGGCAATAACAGGGAAGATCATGGTCATAGCCATAATAGTTCTTTTTTTAGTGGTGCTTTTTCTGCTTTTGCTTCATCTTTATGCTAAATGGTTTTGGTGGCGCATTGAAGAACCAAGTGCTCCTCCTTCACGCCGCAACCGACGTCGATTTGTCTTTGCTCCAGGGCAAGACACTGCTCATCCTCTACGTGCAACTAAAGGTCTTGATTCTAAAATTCTTGCTTCCCTTCCTATGTTGATGTTTCGTCCAGAAGAGTTCAAAGAAGGACTTGAATGCGCCGTTTGCTTGTGTGAGCTTGTAGAAGGAGAGAAAGCTAGGCTGCTTCCTAAATGCAACCATGGTTTCCACGTTGATTGTATTGATATGTGGTTTCAATCACACTCCACTTGTCCTCTTTGTAGAAACCTTGTTGTTGCTGTTGAATTTGAGAATTCAACTTCTTTTCTGTCAGGAGATGAAGTTAATGGTCATGTTCAGTCTCCACATGATGGTTTGGCTTCTGAGCATTCGACAGATTCTCCTAGTTTTCCTACAAATGTGTTGTTTTGGGGTAATCAAGCTCAGGTTAGTAGTGGTGGTGCCGAGGGTGCCCGTGCGTCTGCTTCTAATTCTGGTTCTTTTGCTTCGTCTTCCTTGACATCTGGTAGTGGTAGGCAAGAAGGGATGTCGGTGATTGATGTTCCTATGAATGTAAATGAGAACTTTCCGGAGGAGGAATCAAAGTCTCCATTGCCTACAAGATTAAGGTCTTTGAAGAGACTTTTAAGCAGGGAAAAAAGGGTGGCTCCTAGTGGTTCAGGAAGCAGTTCTGTTGATGTTTGAAGTTACCAAGGGTGGATCCTAGGAGCTGATTTTCTTGAACATGTACTTTTCAATATCAGAGCAGAAATGGTCGGAGATGATCAAATTGAACTCTTACCATCCTTGAGAATTGTGGGGTTTTCTTGGGAAACAACAATTTTGCTCAATAATATAAGTTGGGCATTTTGAAGCATTGAGTCTCTTCTCCAAGATGTTGGTATTCTGTTGCTGAAAAAGGGTTTGACAAATGCTTAAAATAGGTGGTGTCTTTGAAGAGGGTGGTCTTCTCTGAATCAGAGGTGAAAGAATCCATCTTTTCCTCAAAATATGTATAAAAAACAATTACTTCTTTTGCAGAAGACTTTGTTTCTCTCTGGATTCATGTATTGTAAAGCTATCAAATCCAATTCCACAACATTTTTGTTGTTTATTGTGCCTTACAGTTAAGTAATTAGTTTCTAATTTTTTTTGTAAGATTTTCCAAATGTGCATAGAATCGAACTGCAACAATTTAAAAAATGCTTGAAATATATCATTCAATTAGTTCAGTTTAAAAACTTCATTTTAGTTTATGCATTCATTTTATTTTTGAGATCTTGGCAATTAGACAGGGCAATTTTAGATAAATCACTATAATACGAAAATAATAAGTAAAAAGAGTTATATGAGTTTAGTAAAATAAAAAATTATGTTTCAAATTTATGTTAATACGAATTATGATATAATAATTTTTATATTTTATATATGTTTAATATGAAACAAACACAATTCGATTAGTCAAAGTAACATGTCTATTTATAACTCAGTTATATCAAGTCTATAAAACATATACATTTTCCTATGGAAGAATCTTTTTTCGTTTTTAATTAACCATTATTCGAGACCAAAACCCCTTTCCCAAATACTTTGCAAATCAGATTGTTGTATGCAGTAGTAGGGTATGGAAAAGGAAGAAAATGGGTGTTCTAGAGCAGTAGCTTATGTCATATGGATTACATGATTTTACTCAAGTCTAGATATCAGGTTTGGCTATGTAATGAAAATATAGTTGGGAAAATAGCATATAGTTGGCTTAGGTCACCGACAAGGGCTTATAACTAATGCTTGGTTTCATGGGATAAGGTTTCAGAACCAGACTAGAAACTCAATGAAGTACGAGTTCTAATGTCGCATTTCTGGCAGACATGTACAGCATGTCTTAATGCTGTTCTGAATTCGGACAATACAAAATTTTCCCTTTTAATTTGTACAAGAATCATATGCATATTGAGTCTAGAGAGTGCAACTTCACTCCATCTTGCGTTGCTTTAGTGCTCAGGTAAAACGGTTGAAACAATGTGGTTAGTGCGTTGCTTTAGTGCTCAGGTAAAATGGTTGAGACAATGTGGTTAGCGTGGGTCAACCTAACACCTAACTGCTCCTTACGTAAACCAAGCTAATGGGGGACCATTTGACAAGAATTGTAGCAACTGGCTGGATTTGAGAAATGAAATTGGTTCGATAGAAGCATTCCCCAGTATGCTCTTCCAAAGCAGGGATCCTTCTCTTTTTTTTTTTTTTTTGGTGCAAAAAAGTTTAGATTGAAGAAGGCTTTCCCATTCCAAGGTCAGGGTCAGGGAAGACCATAGGTCTCAAAGAAGATTTACATTGGATTTACATATCACTCACCAAGAGAGACTGCTAGTAGTGAGACTCGAACATAGACCTTACAAGTGAAGTATATTGCTTTAACATGTTCTTCTTTGCACTATTGCTTTTTTTTATTATTATTGGTATAGTGTAGCGGCATCCGGTGAAAGAATCGGGATAAGTGTTAAGAAACCTTTTCGAAGGAACTGTTTCCTGAGTACTACCATTATTTGTTTTTGATGAACAGATGGTATCAAGAATTAGTAAAATTAACTTTCCTGTAGACATCAGAACTATGGACTTAGTAATTCATTTCAATTCCTTGCTTATACAGTACATAGATTGGACGATGGCGTAATCAGAACACCTCTAGTTTTCTGCAAGTTCTTAATTATCAAACACAGAAACATATAACTATCATTTAGTCTTTAAGACAGACAAACACGAGAAGGGGATTAAAAAAACTAGGGAAAATTCAACGACTACATGGATCACTTTTACAACTTGGATCTCTTGTCATTCAAATTAACCAGGAGCCCCTTCTGTCAAATGTCCCACCATGTACCCATCAGAACTGAGATTCAGATTATTGATACGTCTAATTGCTCACCTCAATAAATATAATACTTTATAGTTTCTATCACAAAGTTCCTCTGTTTTGCCAGATGGGGCAACTTTTTCTTGGCTAAACTAATGCAGAAGCCCCATGTCAAATCCTACGTCATTGATACACTATGTTACCAACTAGACAGGTCCATAGGCGTTGGTTTGATGGGGATAGTTAGGCTGGCCAAGACACATGTAAGCTAGCTCATTATCGACTCCCCTGGCAGTTCCGCAAAATGGACCAGAACCATAACCTTTACTTGGCTTGGAAATATCAGGACCATCTACAGGATTCGAACTAGGCTTGTTACTTCTGTCAATTTTCCACCATGAGAATAGAGAATTTTTCCATGATTTCTAGCTCTTTTTTTCTCCTCCCAATCTTTTCTTTCTGATTTCATCTGAACATGAAGATGACCGCTGGAAGTTTATGTCTCTTGCATGTTGCCTTGCTTCTTCTAGAAACTGATCAAAGGGGTCAAAGCCAAAACCAGATAAATTATCATATTCCACAAAACATATGCAAACTTCTATTGGCAGAAAACATATCCCAGACAAAACGTTATAGGAGGTCTGATTCTGAAGCATCAAAGTCAGAAGTCAGAACACATTTGTTTCACAAATTTGTCTTTGTTCTTTTAGTAAGAAGTGAAGTATTCTTTTTCTGTCAAAATCAGGGTAGTTTTGCTGCCGAAAGGATAAAAAGATCATATACATTCCATTATAAGATCATTGGAAGATGAGTCACAATTGAGGAAATGGGAGAGAAACAAAAAGAAAGGTGTTGTGTCTTACCTGTGAAACGTTCACCTGATAATCAAATTCATAGCAAGCATAATCATATGTATCATATTTTGTATGTACTGGAGATTTGCTCATGGTTTCCTAGAAGATACATAATCCAGTTAGCATAAGCAGGGATCAAATTAGCAGTAATAATAATAATAAACTGAAAAGTAAAAAATCACCTTAAAAGAAGAAGGGCATTGATTCATTTACATCATAAATAAATTCTCCACAATGTAACAGGTGCTTGCTGGTTTAGAAAACAAGGAAACTAGTATACTAAATACAATTGGTAGTATGAATAGACAGAAGGTGAAATGAAAATAAAAAGTAGTATTGTATACCTCCAGTTGAGAAATGAAGGCAATGATCTTTTAAATTCCAACCACTCGAATGATTCCATCTAAGGCAAGGGGCCAACAACCAAACTGAAAACCCCCACCAAACCCCTAAATGGAGATTTATGGAAATTGAAAAAGGTTTGGTAGTTGGAACGTATGTTTGCAATGTAAAGCATCGCTGTGGGGTAGATGACCTGGTGAATTCACCTTTGTATTAAATTTTTTATTCTCAGGCTCATAATAGTTTTGAAGTTGTTCGACGAATTTGGAAATGAAAATAAAAATAGAGTCAGACACCATTTTTTTTGTTAAGTGTGATTGGTCACCTATTAAAATACATCATTTTAATAAGATTTTAAAATTAATTAAAATTTATTAAAAAGATAATTTTATGGTTTACGAAATAATCTGATCCGAAAGTCGATTACTCGTGGAAAAGAATTAACACCCTTACGACACCCGTTTGAAATGATAACAATTAATTACGTGTTATCTATTAATTTTGATAAAAATAATCTCATTTTTTATGTTTGAAAAATAATTTCCTTGATTTCTTTTGTTTATTGCAATTTTGTTTATTTTCTTTATTTATTAAAAATTTATTATTCAAATTTTGTTCAAAAAAAATACATTAGAACATTTTTATTGAAATAATTCTTAAAATGTTTTAGTACATTAGTCACATTGAAAGAATTCCTTCTCACCTAGACCTTTCTTAAACATCACTTCTCAGAATACTTTAAAATCTTTGGAGGCTTAAATTTACTTTTCGTAAAAACTTATGTCAAGCATGCAATGCAAAATGCTAATATGTGAATGTACACTTTTTTTATTATTTAGAAATTTTATTGTTTGTTTTTTTTATTGAATTGTTATTATAATTCTTATTGTTTTATTGAAGAAAAGAGAAAATTTTATCATATTGAAGATTTTTATAAATATTCCAATATATTAGTAATATTTTAAAAAAATCTTTTCACTTAGAGATTTCGTAAAGCATCACTATTCGAAATACTTTTATAATCTCATCATTGGATAATATTTCCTCTTTCCTCATTCTTTATTATTAATTTTATAACAAAGAAAAAAATTTATTGTATTGAAAACTTTTTATAAATATTTCAATACGATGGTAGTACTTTTTTTAAAAAAATTTCTCACCTAAAAATTTCATAAGTATAACTACTCGGAGTACCTACAAATCTCATCATTAGAAAAAATTTTCTTTTCTCATATTTTTTATTATTTTGTTATTATTATCTTATAAGGTTTATTTTAAAATTAACAAAATTATCACAAATTTTTACTATATATTTCATTATTTATTTCTATTAACAACAAAAATTTATTCTAACAAATTTAAATATTTTAATATGCCTAGATATTAGTAATAAAATTTAAAATAACAAAAATAAAATTCAAAAAACAAAAAAATTCAAAAAAAATTTCTTTTACTTAAATCAGATCGGTCAACGGTCCGGTCAATATCGATCTGGTTTGATCTAGGTGGTTCGACGGTTCGGAGCTGGTCTGGTTCGATTTGGGTAGGTTTAGCTGGATCAATCTAGGTCTGGGACAGAGACGGGTCACAGGTCGGGTACGCGATTCTGGGTTGGGTTAGAGCTGACGCGTGGATCCTCTTAGGATCAAAATGATGTCATTTTAGTTCTTTAATGAAACGACATCATTTTGGCTTTCAGCTTTCTATAAAATCCAAAAATTTTTCCTTTCTTTTATTTTTTCTCTTCTCCCTATCTCTCTAATTCAATTGGTCGATCACTGTCTGTCACTATTGATGGTCGATCGTCGGTCGTCGGCTGTTATCATCGATCATCAAAAAATCTCAAAAAAATTCTCAAAACATTCCTCTCGACTCCCTGAACCTAAATCCGGCCTCCCTGTTACCAAAAAAGATCCCAATTCCCTAGATTTACCTTCTAACTTTGGGCTAAACTTTTTTTTTTAGTATTCTGACTTCTTTTTTTTAGACTGATTTTGTTTTCTCTTTTTGCAGGGGCTTTCGGTATTGGATTCCCTATTCCTAGGGGACTGAGTTTGTTGCCTTTTTTCTTTGCTTTTGAATTTGTTTGTTGTAGGGTTTCCCCTTCCTCCCCTTTTGGGGTTGGCCAAGAGCTCTCTTTATAAAGCTCCCGTCGTGGCCCTATGCTTGGGCAAGTGACGCAGAGCCTGACAGAAGGGGAATGCTGTACATGAACCTTTCTTTCCCCTCTTGTTTCTTTTGTTTTGTCTGGCTTTGACCCTGTGCCTGGATAGGTGGCACAGGGCTTTGGTAGGGGTTAGTGGTGCTGTGCACAACACCAGATGCCCCTACCTTTTTGTTTTTTTTGTTCTTTGAATTTTTTTGTTTTTGTTTTTTCTATTTCATTATTCTTTGGATATTTTGTTTAATAAAAAAAAAAAAAGCAAACTTGTGCCTAAAGAACGAAATTGGGCCTTAGGCCCGATCAAAATTGGGCCACAAGCCCAATTGAATTGAAATTGGACTTCAATCCGATTGAACTAAAATCAAGCCTTGGCCCGATTGAATTGCTATCAAGCCTTGGTTCAAGAACCCGATATCCGATAAATATTCACGAGACCTAATTCAAATCCAAACAGTTGAATTGAAATTGGGCCCCAAGCCCAGTTGAATTAAAATTGGGCTTCAATCCAATTGAACTTAAATCAAGCCTTGGCCCGATTGAATTGCAATCAAACATTGATTCGAGAACCCGATATCCGATAAATATTCAATTTAGACCCAATTCAAATTCGGACAAATTTGATGTCTACATCAGGTAATACCATAAGTAGAAGCATTACTCATTATAATTAATCAATCACAATTTAAAATTTTGTTTTAGAATTGTGTAGGATGTTTTATGGATCTCATAACTTTAAGTGATGAATTGTTACATAATTTTTTATTGTGATTCTACCATTATAAAATGGTTGTTGAAAAAATTGTAGGTAAATGCTCCCTAATAACAATAACACAAAATCAGCAAATATCTAATCAGCTACCAACTTTTTAATAAAAGAATCATAATATAAAATGGAAAGGAATAAAATCATTATGTGTTACTCAAATTTGCTTACTCATCAAGGTTGAGGTAAACTGTTTTCCAGTATATGGAGGTAAACTTGGAAAGAGATACACATTTACATATTTGATTCCACCTGAAACAGCTTTGACAGTTACAGTGCTTGTTTGTTTTACGGAACCAACACTTGAAACCCAAGAGTGGCCATTTGCATGAAGTCTATCATTACACTATTGTAAGAATTTTATTAGTAAACCATGCAAAGAAGCAAGCGACAATGAGGAGCAAGTCTTTGTATGTGGAAAAGAGAACATGTAATCTGTACATCGAGAGTCAGGAGAAAAAATCCGATGCCATGATTTGTTGAAAGAAAATGGAGCTTAGTTGTGGCCAATTATTTGTTACCCGAACTAAAAAGACAGTATAATAACGATGTGGAAAAAAACAGTTCCTACTATTATAACAGGAAGAGGAACAAAAGGGATACTTCATGCATAATTTGCGGCGTATTTTTTGGGGGAACTCAAAGGTCATCTTCTTTTCCATGTTTCGAAGGGAAAGGGAAATGCCCAACCAGACAGGCAGGAACTTGAGCGTCCAAGTTATGGCTAGGGATAAGTGCACCGAAACCTAAGACCGGATCTTATGCTTTTTTAGCTTTTTGACAAGAAAAACATTGCCCATGCCCATGTTATGAGTAAAAACAGGATAACCAATATCGACATTAATGAGTGTAGTAAGGATTAATTCGGTAAATATATATATATATATTTATATTTAATTCATTAGTGTTACTCTGCAACGGCCAAAGGGTTGTTTAGGACTTAGGGTGCGTTTGGATTTAACTGAAGCTTAAGTTGGCTGCGATTGTAATGGGGAAATGTGTAAAAAATCTCAAAAAGCCACCGAACATCCATTTGGCTGGCATTATCGTAGTACGATTACCTGCATTTCTTCCCTACTGGGTTTTGCTCCAGTGGGAGAAAGGCCACAGCATTTTTTTTTTCAATTTTACCCTTAAGATTATATTGCAAAAACAGTAATATCTCTATAATTTCACATTTTTATTTTTTTATTTTAAGAATGTAAAATAATTTTGTTAATTAATATATGAATATATTTTCTTGTTATATAATAAATAAATTAATAAATAAATAAAACTTATTATTATATTAGGAACTAATAAATAAATAAATTTTATTATTAATACTTAATAAAAATTAACATACAATTTTCATTTTAATAAATTTAATGATCATTTTAGTTTTTTCATTATAATTTACATTATGATAATCACTGCTTTTGCATTCAAACACATATTTCATCATTGATTTTAATCTCATTAACACAATAACTAATTTCACCTCCATCATTATTTTTAATCTCACCAAAACTCCATCATTATTTTTAATTTCACCAAAACTAATCCCAACATCTTTTCAAACGAACCGTTCAAAAAGAAAATAAAATAAAAGAAATACAGAGAGTAGAGATTGATCCTACCATCATAATTTTTATATAATGCAAGCTCAAATCAGCATTAAGAAAAGCTCATTGTTCTTTACCACGTCCTCTCTCGCAAAGTTGGTCCATTGGTTGGCCTTCTGCGAGCAATTACATAATGTCATAGCTAAGCCAAAATCTTTTGTATTTTCAGCTCATGAATCTCAATTTCCTGCAGTCCATGACCTTTGCCTTGGGTATGTATGTGTGTGTGTGTGTGTGTGTGTGTAAGAGAGAGAGAGAGAGAGAGAGAGAGAGTATAAAACCAAAGCGACCAACAGACTCCAACTAAAATACGACCAACATTACAAACATGAAATGTTTCAATGTCAATCGGCAAAATTACCAACATGAACTTAACATAGGAGAAACATCAGTCAAGATTCAACTGACCCTCCTTGGAATCAAACCCCCTATACATTCCTTCTAGCACACGACAAATCTAAGGAGCATAGAACAAGATTCCTTCAACTAGAGACTGTATAATCACTAACCACTACAGATCTTTTCCATGTTGCGCCCCAGATATCAAAGTTGAAGCAGCGGCAATGCCATTACAATACCAAAGATGGAAACTAGCAACAACATCATCCACGTTGGGAACGACTGTTTTCCATTTCTTCTTTTATCCATCAGGGTATCTACTTTTTTAACATCTTTCCCAGAAGAATTAACAAGTTTTTGCGCCTCAGGTTTTGAATTTTCTTCTTGTGGTGATTCAAGGGATAAATGCTCTGAAACAGGCTGTTGCTGCTGCTTGTTGTACTTATCCACATATTCTGGAAACAATTTTCTGAATGTTGGGCTGCCATAGAAAGACCTCAGATGTAATTCTCAATTTGGAAAGAAATGCCCACAAATAGTTTAGAAAACAAAACTAAAGCAACTGTACACCACTGTTTGAATGATAAATTGGAAAAAAAAGGGGAGGTTTGGCTAGAAGCAAACTACTTAAGCAACTTAACACTGTTAACCTCATGTGTAACTGTGCAAAGTTTATCTCTGTTAGCTAATAACAATGCAGAATCCAGCCAACCCTAATAAATTAGCTTCAAAGTGTCCACAATTAACATGACCTAAATCATAATCATAGTGGTAGCAAATGGTTGAAACTAATTTGGAGAGCCCTAGATCCTCGAAAACAAAAAAATGAAAGAAAAGAACAAATCCAGTGCAGGTGAAGCAATAAACTTACTTCTTATAATTAAAAGCAAGGGACATCTTTGCCAGGCGTTGCTTCTCAGCAGCAGTAGTGTTAACACTGCCTGTAGTAGGACTGTTATCCATCTGCACAAGAAAAAAGCTGTTTGAAATAAGGGCATATTCCCAATGCAAGCAAGAAGTACCCACAACTTAACAAAAGTGCAATATAAATGAATTAAGATACAAGAAAGACACAAAGTCTCACCATGAAAGAGAGAAGCCCTGTGAGTATGCTGCATTATTAAACAGAAAGAAATTTAGTTCAAACAGCTACAAAAGCAAATACAAACTTTGGCAATTGTTTCACATGTCAAAAGCACCCTATGATAGGTATATGTGTTAAAAAGGATGCTGCAGCAACAAAAGAACTTGCAATTAGACTGAAATCCTCGTACCTTGATACAGACCACATAGGGTTCCAACTTTCTGGATGAACTGAAAAAGAACAGGACCGAGGTTAAAATGAAAATCAGTTATTAGATATATAAATAAAACACGAATCTCTAAATTATTCTTTCAAAATACTTACAATCACTCATAGACAAGCATATTTTCTTCTGTGTCATAAATCGTCCATTGGGGGTGATCATGCTACATGGAAGAAAAATGCAGTTTGATGTTAGAAATAGCTGTGTGTTTTCTATTGTAAATTTTGAAAAGGGCAAAACAGAAAGAAAGTGCATACGTGATTCCAGGAGGTTTGTAGGGATACTCTGGAGGGAACTTGATTTTTCCATAGTAGTACCCACCTTAGGAAACCAATTGAAAAGAAAAAAATAAAATAATCAGATTGCAATATCAGATAGCTTCTTGCAGAGTCTACAATGAACTAGATAAAATAACCTCAAGCTATCATGGGGAAACTAGCCAACCTGCAAAAGGTGTTCCCTCACTCCCTTCCAGCACATAATCTGTAATGGTAAAGCAGAAGAATTAAATAGATGTCCAGAAAACCTAACACATAGAGTGTTATGACAGACAAATATTTATTTAATCATAATCAACACAGTGCCATAACCTCATATTAGTGCCAAAATATTAGAGAACCTAGATTACACATCAAATACTAATATCCAGGAAACAAGCCAATTTTATCACGCAATTGCACGGGTAAAAGAATAAAATGCCATGTCCTGATCATTATAATATTAGAACTCATCATTATTAGCAACAGCAAAAAATGAAAAAAATTAACAAATTTAAGATTGACTGCAATTCCTTCAAGGCAATATCTAGAAGTTTTAATTAGATAAGATTAGAACACAACATAGATTGAACTCTACTTCATTGTACACTTATTAAAGAATCCTGCCAAATGTCAGGGGCTTTTTGCGCACTCTATCCCAAATTTACAGTCCACAACTTAGCTAGCAGGAAGTTTTATACACTTGCATCTCAATTGACACCCCAATACACAACTGACCAACAGTCAGGTTAATACCTTCGATGTATCACCCTCCAATGGTATTGGACAACATGAAAACAATTATTTTCCTGCTTTTACAAGGATAAAGTCTAGGATAGTAGGCAACTTCTTAGTTATTATAGAAGATGCTTTTATGTGAGTATTACAGAGCCTTATCTAAAGAAAGGAGATAAAAAAGATTTAATAAGCTTACGCCACTCAAGGATGTCATTTGGGGATGGACGAGCAACAACATGAGAAACTGGTTCCTACAAATTCATAGAATAACTGTTAAATTATCTGAGAAGAAACTATGATTAAGTTACAACAATAACAAAAATTTGTTATTCTAGAACCAATACATTTTCTAATAATATCCAATTTATTTGTGGAGGGAGTGAAAAGATATCCAACTGTTTTTCCTTGTCACTGGAAGTTAAACATAAATACATAATGCTTAATTGCTGTTTAACAAACCAATAAAACAGACAATAGACTACCATATCATACAACACAACATTCTCAATCCATTAGCTATTGATACAAGCTCTGCAGTAACAAGCTTCATACACGGGGTACCAGAGGCATAAAATTTTCCTTGTATAGAAAAAAGAGTTTATAACCCACAGACACATAAAGACCAAAAAATTAATTAAAGGTTAACTAGATAATATAACAAGCTTTCTACAACAGCTAAGCATTTCCAGGTTTCAACAATTAGTATAAAAAGCATGAGTAACAATAAAATGAATTGCAGGAAATACAGGGAGAAAACAACACCTTACAAAGCGCTCTATATTCTTTCTGAAGGCGCTTAACACAAGATTTCTCTGCCATTCCTCAAAACCTAAAAGCTGTCTCAGCCACAAAAATATAAAACCCCTAGCCGCGGTTTTGTTCCTTCAACCTTTAACTTACAATTATTCACTGACACAAAATAGAGTAAAATAAGAAGACAATTACTCAAATAGAAGACCATACAATCAATTCCACAAAGATCAGACAAAATCTTCTGGCGAAAGATGCACAGTTAGCAGGCAAATCAGTTAATTAAAAGAATGACGATCTAGTGAAATTATTGAGAAATCAAGACCTTAAAACTCCAAAATGAATTCGACGAGCTCGGAATGAAGAATCATGAGAATAACTCAGCAAAAGCAATATACATATGTTTTTCTTAAATTACATTAATTAACAGGTGATTAATAATAAAATAAAGATTATAACAGAATTTAAATTGAACATAAATTTACCTTAGGGTACTAATTTTCAATTCCTGATAATTTTACCCTAAATCATTACCAATTAATTAACATAGAAATCGGAAAATCTAATTAAACTGAAATTGATTGAATGATGAAGTTTGATGACCAATTAAACTAAATTTAAAGTAAAAGCCCAAACAAGGATCTACCAATTTAAACCCCACAAAACGAAAAAAAAATCAAAGAAAAAGGAGATCGCGTTTACAATACAGAAATTCAACAAACAAAGTTCAAGTAAACGATTCCAAAATCGAAAAAAAAAGGGGAAATTAGCAAGAAATTATTTTTTCCTTAAAAAAAGAGAGAATTACCTGGGGATCGAGGCGGTTATTTCTTGACACAAAGGAGAATAGAAGCTGGAATTAGAATTATTAGAATAAGGAAAGGAAAGACGAGAGAGAGTAAAATCTAACGGAGAGAGAAAGAGAGAGAGGAAGGTTATTTTGACTCTCGAGATTGGCTTTGCGTTATATGCTAGTACTGTAGCGTACAACTACTTCAACTGCCCCGTCCTTTCTCAAATTTCCTCTCGACGGGGCTCCTAGATTGACCGACATTCTTTTGCAAAAAGACATTATCAGCCTTTTTGTTTTGTGATTGTGTGGAAATAATCAATGGCAATTTTGGCAATGTAGAATCTTCCTTTTTAGTTTTCCCGAGGAAGATTTATGATTATAAAAAATTGAATTTGACAAACGCATTCCTTCTTTTTAATCTAAAAAATGGGAACTTATTTCTAAAAGGATATTGTAAGATCCAATAGAATTTTATTTCTAACCCCTATGCCATTGTTTTCGCCATTTTTTGTCATGAAATTCAAAGTGTCTTTGGGATAGGTGGGCTGTGGGCATCCGAGAAAATTTATATAAATTTTTTTAAGTAAAGTTTGTAATTTTTTTTAAATAATTTAATAAAAATTTGAATAAAAAATACAAATTATAGATGATAAAATTTAATGTAAAAATTAATAATTTATAAAAAAATTATTAAAAAATTTATTTATAATTTAAATTTAATTAATATTTATTTAATAATAAATTTTATGAATATTTTTATTAAAAATATTTATCTAAAAATACGTATCAAAATTTATTAAATTTTTTTTAAAACTTACATACTATGTAACAAAATCTTTTAATTTTTAATTTTAATTTAATTATTTTAATAAAAAATTTCACAAATTTCATTTAAAACATTTCATGTAACCTGATTGGCAACAGCCTAGCAGCCTGCTCAACTTATTGAGCAAGGCAGAACAACTGCCTGGCCAGGTTAGGGTCCAATACAAAATTCAACATTCAGGAATAACTATAGAGATCCAACATTAACAATATAAAACCAACCACTTTTAGCTCCCCAAGAAAAATTACTAAAAATCATGTGCCTAATCACATGACTCCTCTGAATATAAACCACTGTTTACCAAATCAGCAGGTCAGCGTTGCAACATGAAACAGTCAAAGTAGAGCACAAGATCTCACTTTGGGAGCAGATTCCAAATCAGGGTTTTTATAAGTAGCGAGTTTGGTACGGAGCCGAAGATCAAACAATCCTGTCTCAATCATTTTCACTCATAAGTAACAAAAATTCTTAACAATTAGCACAATCATGAAGGCACACACTCTAGCACTAACAGTTCTTACTGTTCTACTTTCGGTAGTTCTATCTACTTGGGTTAATAAAGGTCAAGCTGAAGCTTGTCCAATTCCACCACAGCCTCAGTCTTCACCAGTGTCAAGCAAGGGTTCATCTTCCCAAGCTCTTGGAGATTTGCAAGCTGACAAGAAAAATCCTCAGAAGCAGGTCGATTCGAGCTTTCAGAGAATGCCTCCAAGCACTTCAAATCCTATACAGAACAAGTAAATTCTCGCATTCACAATCACATCAACAGTTCATGTCTTTCTGCCAATCTCAGATTTCCTATAGTTGATTTAGATACAATGTTTTTTGCACCAGATCCAGCCCTCCATTACAAGGAGAAAGAAGTAGAAGACAGCAGATACTAAGATCTCTAAAACATTAATTTTTTTTTTCTATTTAAAGAACTTTTTGTTAGACTGTCTACTAACGTAGAGTAATAGCTTAAGAGCAACATGTATTGAATCACATAATGCATTAGTAGCTTTGCTACCATATTCTTACCATATCTATTACTAAACCGCAAAATTTTGGTATAATATTGGATACAAAAAATGAATTTCCAACTTTTCCAGGAAGGCTTATATTTTCTAGCCTAGCTAGAATGTTTGGACACAACCAAAATTTATCTCAACTTCGAGAATGCAATGGTGTAAATACATACAAAATAACTTTCTCTAGTTGTAGGATGTAAAATGATGCAGCTTCAGTTACCTATCATAAAATGTTAGCAAAATTGAGAGTATCCGCAATTTCAAATTTTCAGTGTATGCTTTGAAACTCCGTGTTGTTTCTTATCAATGTCACCAGAAGAGAGAAAATTTTTCACTGCATTTTTCATCACCTTCTTAGAGCCAAGTCCATCTTCAGACCCCACATCTCTTTTTCTCTTCTTCCTTTTCTTTTTTTCCTCCGCCGAGGTATCATCAACCATGGAAATGGAATTGAGAGAACTGTCAATCTCTTTCCTTGTGTTCAATTCTTCGGGCTCTGATATGTCCATAGAAGCATCACAAAGGAATTTGTTCTTTGTTGGTGACTCACCAGAGCCAAATGCAACATAGAATTCATTGTAAGCTGATTGTTTTGATGCTTGTTTTGATATCCACTGATCAGGTTTGGTAGCATATCGGTCATGATAAAACAAAGGTGAGAAAACATATGATAAAAACAAAACATCAACAGCTACATTTCTTCAAGAATGTAGCATAGATGAGATAACATTTTACTATGTGAGCAACTACTATGTGAAACAGACGAATCTAACCTCTAATATCATGACTGCTAAGTAAACAAATTAAAACAGGAAACAAGCAAGTGAATTTTAGTTTATTTTTCCTATCAAACTTGACAGGCATTGCATTTCAGGCTATGACGCAACACAACAAATAATCGCCCAAACCAGCACACTGCAATTTACTTACCTATCGACATCTAATTTCCTAAGGAGGTGAGGGGCTTGTTAGGTCTTGGAGAGTTCAGTTCGTACAGCTAACAATTCAGATGCTATGGCTTCCCTTATTGACAGGCTACCAGCATTGAAGCACCTTTCAACAGTAAATGAACCAGATGGGTGCATCGCAAGCTCCCCAAAATGTCCACGTACCCTTCATGATTAACAGCAAACAGACAATATGAAGTCAATATAACAGCAATGGAATCATAAAAATTTTACAATGCATCAAAATAACAGCTCAATATCGAATCTCAGGAAAGAAGAGTAGCAGGTATTATTCCATATAGAAAAAGACCAGACCAAAAAGTTATCATCAGAAAACAAAGCCCATTGTGCAGACAAGTTCCATTGGTATCACATTTTATCAATGGACCCAATCAGCCAAGCACTGACAATAACTTCCTGGAAAAAATATAACTGCCAAAGGAGCAGCTCAACATACTTCACAACTAATCTGCGCTTCTGTTTCATGGAAGCATGAAGCAAGAAATGCGTCAATGACACGTGCTCCTCCAGCATCTTTAGCTGTCTCGAGGACATGCTCAGCTGCCATGGATGTAATACTCAAAAGGTATGGCTGTATCCACTCCTGTAACCAAAAAGCAAGTTATTGCATACTAAAGTTAGAAAGCTAACGATTCACACTTTTGTTTGAAGTAGTCAAGCCAACATCATACCGAATTCAATGTGATGATGAGAACTATTTCTATATACACATCTTAATCAGAAGCTTGAGGCTCATAATTGAAAATGCTACTGATAATGAGAAGTTCAATGTGAGTGCACATGTACACAGAGACATTGAAGTAGGTTTAGTTTATGCAAGCAAAAGTGGCTGACAATTTAATGATAATGCACAATATATACAAAGCCAATAATCTAATTGGACAAAATAAAATGACATAACGTATTCAAGAAAGGCAACATACACTTCAGAATTTAAAAATAGCCCGCAGAATTAAAGAACCCATGACTTGCATCTTAACTCCACCTGCCCAGTTCCAACTAGACTTGTCTTCATGGCTGAAGTAACTGTCAAGAAACAGTATTCGAGGGACAATAAACTTTGAAGTCTTATTTTTTGAACCAACAGCGGCAGCAAGTGCCTGACAACACTGAAAAAGAAAGAACAAAAATTCACTGATGGTCAGGACAAGATATGGATGTACATCAATGAGAAGTTTCACTATAACGTAATTTGAAGTCTCATTTTTTGAAGCAACAGTGGCAGCCAGTGCCTGACAATACTGAAAAAAAGAATGAAAATTCACTGATGGTTAACACAAGGTATGGGTGTACATCAAAGAGAAGTTTCATTATAATATAATTGCCAAGCTCTTTCAGACTGACTAAATAGCAAGTAGTAAAGGAATTGTATTGAATTACTAAACCTTATATTCATGAGTTTGAAGCCTTTGACATGCAGCAATGAGACAGGCAATAACTCCTGACCTCCCCATTCCAAGAAGATACCCAAATTTGAATCCAAGCTCTTCCCAGATCAACTCCTAATAGACAAAATGCAGAAAGTTTTTGCAAATCTGAGAACAGTAGAGCTTTGCGGGATATCCAGCACCAAAAATAGCTTTCATAGTCTGAAGATTTAGATAGCAGCCAAAGATAATAAAACAATAAGGAGCAAATAAATATAGATAAGACGATAATGTAATTTTACCAATGGAACACTAGTATCCATTGCAGTATATCCAATCATTTCAGGAGATTTGCATGAGCTTAGAATCTTGTAAAGAATCTAATGAAGTAAAAGCTTCTATCTATAGTAGAATGCTGGAATACATACTTGATCTTTTGTTCTTGCATGAGAAATTAAAGCTTGAATGACAAAGTTTCCACAATGATGGGATGAAAGCTCAAAAAATGAATTCTTGAAAAGCTTTGTGAACATCTCATTATACAGGCTTTCAGGTGCGACCTCCAGAATTACCTGCAGTTTGCAGAAAAGGAAGCAACACTGTAGAGTTCACAAAAAAGAAGAGCAGAAGCAAATAGTAGATGATTTAACTGCTGCATATAGGGGAAATGATGATCTGGACAAATTAACTATTATTTAACGGATTGTCTTTTATCCAGTTGTGCAAAAGCACAAGAATGTTTAGAGTATAGACAATGCAGTGGCAACAGCATTGTCTAATCTTATGGTGAAATTATTAGAGGAAATGTGGAAAACATTTCACTTCACTGCAAACCCACTTTTGTCCCTAATTAAGGGAATTCAAATATAAGAAAAGGAAAAGTTAACTCCTCCATAACAGTGTCCAGATGGGTTACAACTAGTAGAGCTAACCCTGTAACATGGCAATTTTCAAGAGAAGACATATCCTTTCGAGAGTAATTAATTACTAGGCCATTAAGGAAATTAGGTGCAAAATTTTAAGTTTATTTCTTTAAAGCTATCTAAGCAATCTATTTAAGATACCATTGTTATTTGGGTTCATATCCTTGAGAAGATAATCACATAGATGCCATCCGTATTGCTTTTGTATAACATTGATTCAATTCCAAATGCAGTAACACTTAATGCATACAGAGAAATGAACAAGGTATTTGAAACAGAAAAAAAAAAAAAAAAAAAAAAAAACC